GCCACTTGGTCCGGGCGCGCGCGGGCCACTTGGTCCGGGCGCGCGCGCGCGCTCCACTTGGTCCGGGTGGCGCGCGCGCGTGCCACTTGGTCCGGGCGCGCGCGCGCGCGCCACTTGGTCCGGGCGCGCGCGCGCCACTTGGTCCGGGCGCGCGCGCGCCACTTGGTCCGGGCGCGCGCGCGGCCACTTGGTCCGGGCGCGCGCGCGCGCCACTGGTCCGGGCGCGCGCGCGCTCCACTTGGTCCAGGCGCGCGCGCGCGCCACTAGGTCCGCGCGCGCGCGCGCCACTAGGTCCGAGCGCGCGCGCGCGCCACTGGGTCCGGGCGCGCGCGCCGCCACTTGGTCCGGGCGCGCGCGCGCGCCACTTGGTCCGGGCGCGCGCGCGCGCGCGCCACTTGGTCAGGGGCGCGCGCGCGCGCCACTTGGTCCGCGCGCGCGCGCGCGCCACTTGGTCCGCGCGCGCGCGCACCACTTGGTCCCCGCGCCGCCGCGCGCGCGCGCCACTTGGTCCGGGCGCGCGCGCGCCACTTGGTCCGGGCGCGCACGCGCGCCACTTGGTCCGGGCGCGCGCGGCGCGTCACTTGGTCCGGGCGCGCACGCGCTCCACTTGATCCGGGAGCGCGCGCCCGCAACTAGGTCCGCACGCGCGCGCGCCACTTGGTCCGGGCGCGCGCGCGCGCGCGCCACTTTGTCCGGGCGCGCGCGCGCGCAGCCACTAGGTCCGGGCGCGCGCGCGCCACTTGGTCCGGGCGCGCGCGCGCGCCTCTTGGTCCGCGCGCGCGCGCCACTTGGTCCGGGCGCGCGGCGCGCGCCACTTGGTCCGGGCCCGAGCGCGCGCCACTTGGTCTGCGCACGCGAGCGCGCCACTAGGTCCGGGCGCGCGCGCGCGCCACTTGGTCCGGGCGCGCGCGCGCCACTTGGTCCGGGCGCGCGCGCGCGCCACTTGGTCCGGGCGCGCACGCGCCACTTGGTCCGCGCGCCCCTCTTGGTCACAGCGCGCGCGCCACTTGGTCCGCGCGCTCGCCACTCGGTCCCGGGCGCGCGCGGCGCGCCACTCGGAATCCGGGCGCGGCAGCGCAGCGCCACTCGGTCCGGCGCGCGGCAGCGCGCTCCACTTGGTCCGGCGCGCGCGCGCGCGCCACTAGGTCCGGGCGCGCGCGCGCCACGTGGTCCAGGCGCGAAGCGCGCGCCACTTGGTCCGGGCGCCGTGCGCGCGCAAACTTGGTCGCGCGCGCAGCCACTTGGTCCGGGCGCCGCGCGCGCTTGCGCGCCACTTGGTCCGGGCGCGCGCGCGCGCCACTTGGTCCGGGCGCGCAGCGCGCGCCACTTGGTCCGCGCGCGCAGCCGCGCGCCACTTGGTCCCCGCGCGCGCGCGCGCGCCACTTTGGTCCCGGGCGCGCGCGCGCGCGCCACTTGGGTCCGGGCGCGCGCGCGCGCGCCACTTGGTCCGGGCGCGCGCGCGCCACTTGGTCCGGGCGCGCACGCGCGCACACTTGGTCCGGGCGCGCGCGCGCGTCACTTGGTCCGGGCGCGCACGCGCTCCCTTGATCCGGGAGCGCGCGCCCGCAACTAGGTCCGCGCGCGCGCGCGCCACTAGGTCCGGGCGCGCGCGCGCGCCACTTGTCCGGGCGCGCGCTGCGCGCCACTTGGTCCGGGCGCGCGCGCAGCGCGCCACTTTGTCCGGGCGGCGCGCGCGCGCGCCGCTTGGTTCCGGGCGCGGCGCCGCGCAGCGCCCGCTTGGTCCGGGCGCGCGCATCGCGCGCGCCGCTTGGTCCGGGAGCGCGCGCTGCGCGCCGCTTGGTCCGGGGAGCGCGCGCACGCCGCGCCGCGTGGTCCGGGCGCCGCGCGCGCCACCAGGTCCGGGCGCGCTGCGCGCGCCACTTGGTCCGGCGCGCGAGTGCGCCACTTGGTCCGGGCGCGCGCGCGCCACCAGGTCCGGGCGCGCGCGCGCGCCACTTGGTCCAGGCGCGAGCGCGCGCCACTTGGTCCGGGGCGCGCGCGCGCGCGCCACTTGGTCCGGGCGCGCGCGCGCGCGCGCCACTTGGTCCGGGCGCGCGCGCGCGCCACTTGGTCCCGCGCGCGCGCTTGCCACTAGGTCCGGGCGCGCGCGCGCCACTAGGTCCGGGCGCGCGCGCGCGCCACTTGGTCCGGGCGCGCGCGCGCGCCACTTGGTCCGGGCGCGCGCGCGCTCCACATGGTCCGGGCGCGCGCGCGCGCCACTAGGTCCGGGCGCGCGCTGCGCCACTAGGTCCGGGCGCGCGCATGCGCGCGCCACTAGGTCCGGGCGCGCGCGCGCGCCACTTGGTCCGGGCTCGCGCGCTGCGCGCACCACTTGGTCCGGGCGCGCGCGCGCGCACCACTTGGTCCGGGCGCGCGCTGCGCCACTTGGTCCGGGCGCGCGCGCGCGCCACTTGGTCCGGGCGCGAGCGCGCGACACTTGGTCTGCGCACGCGCGCGCCACTAGGTCCGGGCGCGCGCGCGCGCCACTTGGTCCAGGCGCGCGCGCGCGCCTCTTGGTCCGCGCGCGCGCGCAACTTGGTCCGGGCGCGCGCGCGCGCCACTTGGTCCGGGCGCGAGCGCGCGCCACTTGGTCTGCGCACGCGCGCGCGCCACTAGGTCCGGGCGCGCGCGCGCGCCACTTGGTCCAGGCGCGCGCGCACGGCCTCTTGGTCCGCGCGCGCGCGCCACTTGGTCCGGGCGTGCGCGCGCCACTTGGTCCGGGCTCGCGCGCAGCGCGCCACTTGGTCCGGGCACGCGCGCGCGCGCCACTTGGTCCGGGCGCGCGCACGCGCCACTTGGCCCGGGCGCGCGCGCAGCGCCACTTGGTCCGCGCGCGCGCGCCACTTGGTCCGGGAGCGCGCGCGCGCCACTTGGTCCGCGCGCGGCGCGCCACTTGGTCCGGGCGCGCGCGCGCCACTTGGTCCGGGCGCGCGCGCGCACCACTTGGTCCGGGCGCGCGCGCGCTCCACTTGGTCCGGGCGCGCGCGCGCCACTAGGTCCGGGCGCGCGCGCGCGCCACTTGGTCCGGGCGCGCGCGCGCGCCACTTGGTCGGCGCGCGCGCTGCTCCACTTGGTCCGCGGCGCGGCGCGCGCGCCACTAGGTCCGGGCGCGCGCGCGCCACTAGGTCCGGGCGCGCGCGCGCGCCACTAGGTCCGGGCGCGCGCGCGCCACTAGGTCCGGGCGCGCAGCGCGCGCCACTTGGTCCGGGCGCGAGCGCGCGCCACTTGGTCTGCGCGCGCGCGCGCGCGCCACTTGGTCCGGGCGCGCGCGCGCCACTTGGTCCGGGCTCGCGCGCGCGCGCCACTTGGTCCGGGAGCGCGCGCGCGCCACTTGGTCCGGGCGCGCGCAGCGCGCGCCACTTGGTCCGGGCGGCGCGCGCGCGCCACTTGGCCCGGGCGCGCGCGCGCCACTTGGTCCGCGCGCGCGGCGGCCACTTGGTCCGGGAGCGCGCGCGCGCCACTTGGTCCGCGCACGCGCCACTTGGTCCGGGCGCGCGCTGCGCGCCACTTGGTCCGCGCGCGCGCGCCACTTGGTCCGGGCGCGCGCGCGCTCCACTTAGGTCCGGGCGCGCGCGCGCGCCACTAGGTCCGGGCGCGCGCGCGCCACTAGGTCCGGGCGCGCGCAGCGCGCCACTTGGTCCGGGCGCGCGTGCGCGCCACTTGGTCCGGGCGCGCGCGCGCCACTTGGGTCCGGGCGCGCGCGCGCCACTTGGTCCGGGCGCGCGCAGCGCGCGCCACTTGGTCCGGGCGCGCGCGCGCTCCACTTGGTCCAGGCGCGCGCGCGCGCCACTAGGTCCGCGCGCGCGCGCGCCACTAGGTCCGAGCGCGCGCGCGCGCCACTTGGTCCGGGCGCGCGCTGCGCGCCACTTGGTCCGGGCGCGCGCGCGCGCGCCACTTGGTCCGGGCGCTGGCGCGCGCCACTTGGTCCAGGCGCGCGCGCGCGAGCCACTTGGTCCGGGGCGCGCGCGCGCGCCACTTGGTCCGGGCGCGCGCGCGCGCTCCACTTGGTCCGGGCGCGAGCGCTCGCCACTTGGTCCGGGCGCGCGCGCGCGCGCCACTTGGTCCGGGCGCGCGCGCGCCACTTGGTCCGGGCGCGCGCGCGCGCCACTTGGTCCGGGCGCGCGCGCGCGCCACTTGGTCCGCGCATGCGCGCGCCACTAGGTCCAAGCGCGCGCGCGCGCCACTTGGTCCGGGCGCGCGCGCGCGCGCCTCTTGGTCCGCACGCGCGCGCACGCAACTTGGTACGGGCGCGGGCGCGCGCCACTCGGTCCGGGCGCGCGCGCGCGCCACTCGGTCCGGGCGCGCGCGCGCGCCACTCGGTCCGGGCGCGCGCGCGCGCCACTCGGTCCGGACGCGCGCGCGTGCTCCACTGGGTCCGGGCGCGCGCGCGCGCGCCACTTGGTCCGGGCGCGCGCGCGCGCGCCATTTGGTCAAAGCGCGCGCGCGCGCGCCACTTGGTCCGGGCGCGCGCGCGCGCCTCTTGGTCCGTGAGCGCGCGCGCACGCCAGTTGGTCCGGGTGCGCGCGCGCTCCAGTTGGTCCAGGCGCGCGCGCGCTCCACTTGGTCCGGTGCGCGCGCGCGTGCTCCACTTGGTCCGGCGCCGCGCGCGCGCGCCACTTGGTCCGGGCGCGCGCGCGCTCCACTTGGTCCGGGTGGCGCGCGCGCGTGCCACTTGGTCCAGGCGCGCGCGCGCGCGCGCCACTTGGTCCGGGCGCGCGCGCGCCACTTGGTCCGGTGCGCGCGCGCGCGCCACTTGGTCCGGGCGCGCACGCGCCACTTGGTCCGCGCGCCCCTCTTGGTCCACGCGCGCGCCACTTGGTCCGCGCGCTCGCCACTCGGTCCGGGCGCGCGCGCGCGCCACTCGGTCCGGGCGCGCGCGCGCGCGCCACCTCGGTCCGGGCGCGCGCGCGCGCTCCACTTGGTCCGGCGCGCGCGCGCGCGCCACTTGGTCCGGGCGCGCGCGGGCCACTTGGTCCGGGCGCGCGCGCGCTCCACTTGGTCCGGGTGGCGCGCGCGCGTGCCACTTGGTCCGGGCGCGCGCGCGCGCCACTTGGTCCGGGCGCGCGCGCGCGCCACTTGGTCCGGGCGCGCGCGCGCCACTTGGTCCGGGCGCGCGCGCGCCACTTGGTCCGGGCGCGCGCGCGCGCCACTTGGTCCGGGCGCGCGCGCGCTCCACTTGGTCCAGGCGCGCGCGCGCGCCACTAGGTCCGCGCGCGCGCGCGCCACTAGGTCCGAGCGCGCGCGCGCGCCACTTGGTCCGGGCGCGCGCGCGCGCCACTTGGTCCGGGCGCGCGCGCGCCACTTGGTCCAGGCGCGCGCGCGCGAGCCACTTGGTCCGGGCGCGCGCGCGCGCCACTTGGTCCGGGCGCGCGCGCGCGCTCCACTTGGTCCGGGCGCGATGCGCGCGCCACTTGGTCCGGGCGCGCGCGCGCGCGCCACTTGGTCCGGGCGCGCGCGCGCCACTTGGTCCGGGCGCGCGCGCGCCACTTGGTCCGGGCGCGCGCGCGCGCCACTTGGTCCGCGCATGCGCGCGCCACTAGGTCCAAGCGCGCGCGCGCGCCACTTGGTCCGGGCGCGCGCGCGCGCGCGCCTCTTGGTCCGCACGCGCGCGCACGCAACTTGGTACGGGCGCGCGCGCGCGCCACTCGGTCCGGGCGCGCGCGCGCGCCACTCGGTCCGGGCGCGCGCGCGCGCCACTCGGTCCGGGCGCGCGCGCGCGCCACTCGGTCCGGACGCGCGCGCGTGCTCCACTGGGTCCGGGCGCGCGCGCGCGCGCCACTTGGTCCGGGCGCGCGCGCGCGCGCCACTTGGTCCGGGCGCGCGCGCGCCACTTGGTCCGGGCGCGCGCGCGCGCCATTTGGTCCAAGCGCGCGCGCGCGCGCCATTTGGTCCGGGCGCGCGCGCGCGCCTCTTGGTCCGTGAGCGCGCGCGCACGCCAGTTGGTCCGGGTGCGCGCGCGCTCCAGTTGGTCCAGGCGCGCGCGCGCTCCACTTGGTCCGGGCGCGCGCGCGTGCTCCACTTGGTCCGGCGCGCGCGCGCGCGCCACTTTGTCCGGGCGCGCGCGCGCTCCACTTGGTCCGGGTGGCGCGCGCGCGTGCCACTTGGTCCGGGCGCGCGCGCGCGCGCGCCACTTGGTCCGGGCGCGCGCGCGCCACTTGGTCCAGGCGCGCGCGCGCGCCACTTGGTCCGGGCGCGCACGCACCACTTGGTCCGCGCGCCCCTCTTGGTCCACGCGCGCGCCACTTGGTCCGCGCGCTCGCCACTCGGTCCGGGCGCGCGCGCGCGCCACTCGGTCCGGGCGCGCGCGCGCGCCACTCGGTCCGGGCGCGCGCGCGCGCTCCACTTGGTCCGGCGCGCGCGCGCGCGCCACTTGGTCCGGGCGCGCGCGGGCCACTTGGTCCGGGCGCGCGCGCGCTCCACTTGGTCCGGGTGGCGCGCGCGCGTGCCACTTGGTCCGGGCGCGCGCGCGCGCGCCACTTGGTCCGGGCGCGCGCGCGCCACTTGGTCCGGGCGCGAGCGCGCGCCACTTGGTCTGCGCGCGCGCGCGCGCCACTTGGTCCGGGCGCGCGCGCGCCACTTGGTCCGGGCTCGCGCGCAGCGCGCCACTTGGTCCGGGAGCGCGCGCAGCGCCACTTGGTCCGGGCGCGCGCGCGCAGCGCCACTTGGTCCGGGCGCGCGCGCGCGCCACTTGGCCCGGGCGCGCGCGCGCCACTTGGTCCGCGCGCGCGCGCCACTTGGTCCGGGAGCGCGCGCGCGCCACTTGGTCCGCGCACGCGCCACTTGGTCCGGGCGCGCAGCGCGCGCCACTTGGTCCGCGCGCGCGCGCCACTTGGTCCGGGCGCGCGCGCGCTCCACTTGGTCCGGGCGCGCGCGCGCGCCACTAGGTCCGGGCGCGCGCGCGCCACTAGGTCCGGGCGCGCGCGCGCGCCACTTGGTCCGGGCGCGCGTGCGCGCCACTTGGTCCGGGCGCGCGCGCGCCACTTGGTCCGGGCGCGCGCGCGCCACTTGGTCCGGGCGCGCGCGCGCGCCACTTGGTCCGGGCGCGCGCGCGCTCCACTTGGTCCAGGCGCGCGCGCGCGCCACTAGGTCCGCGCGCGCGCGCGCCACTAGGTCCGAGCGCGCGCGCGCGCCACTTGGTCCGGGCGCGCGCGCGCGCCACTTGGTCCGGGCGCGCGCGCGCGCGCCACTTGGTCCGGGCGCGCGCGCGCCACTTGGTCCAGGCGCGCGCGCGCGAGCCACTTGGTCCGGGCGCGCGCGCGCGCCACTTGGTCCGGGCGCGCGCGCGCGCTCCACTTGGTCCGGGCGCGAGCGCGCGCCACTTGGTCCGGGCGCGCGCGCGCGCGCCACTTGGTCCGGGCGCGCGCGCGCCACTTGGTCCGGGCGCGCGCGCGCCACTTGGTCCGGGCGCGCGCGCGCGCCACTTGGTCCGCGCATGCGCGCGCCACTAGGTCCAAGCGCGCGCGCGCGCCACTTGGTCCGGGCGCGCGCGCGCGCGCCTCTTGGTCCGCACGCGCGCGCACGCAACTTGGTACGGGCGCGGGCGCGCGCCACTCGGTCCGGGCGCGCGCGCGCGCCACTCGGTCCGGGCGCGCGCGCGCGCCACTCGGTCCGGGCGCGCGCGCGCGCCACTCGGTCCGGACGCGCGCGCGTGCTCCACTGGGTCCGGGCGCGCGCGCGCGCGCGCCACTTGGTCCGGGCGCGCGCGCGCGCCATTTGGTCAAAGCGCGCGCGCGCGCGCCACTTGGTCCGGGCGCGCGCGCGCGCCTCTTGGTCCGTGAGCGCGCGCGCACGCCAGTTGGTCCGGGTGCGCGCGCGCTCCAGTTGGTCCAGGCGCGCGCGCGCTCCACTTGGTCCGGGCGCGCGCGCGTGCTCCACTTGGTCCGGCGCGCGCGCGCGCGCCACTTGGTCCGGGCGCGCGCGCGCTCCACTTGGTCCGGGTGGCGCGCGCGCGTGCCACTTGGTCCAGGCGCGCGCGCGCGCGCCACTTGGTCCGGGCGCGCGCGCGCCACTTGGTCCGGGCGCGCGCGCGCGCCACTTGGTCCGGGCGCGCACGCGCCACTTGGTCCGCGCGCCCCTCTTGGTCCACGCGCGCGCCACTTGGTCCGCGCGCTCGCCACTCGGTCCGGGCGCGCGCGCGCGCCACTCGGTCCGGGCGCGCGCGCGCGCCACTCGGTCCGGGCGCGCGCGCGCGCTCCACTTGGTCCGGCGCGCGCGCGCGCGCCACTTGGTCCGGGCGCGCGCGGGCCACTTGGTCCGGGCGCGCGCGCGCTCCACTTGGTCCGGGTGGCGCGCGCGCGTGCCACTTGGTCCGGGCGCGCGCGCGCGCGCCACTTGGTCCGGGCGCGCGCGCGCCACTTGGTCCGGGCGCGCGCGCGCCACTTGGTCCGGGCGCGCGCGCGCGCCACTTGGTCCGGGCGCGCGCGCGCTCCACTTGGTCCAGGCGCGCGCGCGCGCCACTAGGTCCGCGCGCGCGCGCGCCACTAGGTCCGAGCGCGCGCGCGCGCCACTTGGTCCGGGCGCGCGCGCGCGCCACTTGGTCCGGGCGCGCGCGCGCCACTTGGTCCAGGCGCGCGCGCGCGAGCCACTTGGTCCGGGTGCGCGCGCGCGCCACTTGGTCCGGGCGCGCGCGCGCGCTCCACTTGGTCCGGGCGCGAGCGCGCGCCACTTGGTCCGGGCGCGCGCGCGCGCGCCACTTGGTCCGGGCGCGCGCGCGCCACTTGGTCCGGGCGCGCGCGCGCCACTTGGTCCGGGCGCGCGCGCGCGCCACTTGGTCCGCGCATGCGCGCGCCACTAGGTCCAAGCGCGCGCGCGCGCCACTTGGTCCGGGCGCGCGCGCGCGCGCGCCTCTTGGTCCGCACGCGCGCGCACGCAACTTGGTACGGGCGCGCGCGCGCGCCACTCGGTCCGGGCGCGCGCGCGCGCCACTCGGTCCGGGCGCGCGCGCGCGCCACTCGGTCCGGGCGCGCGCGCGCGCCACTCGGTCCGGACGCGCGCGCGTGCTCCACTGGGTCCGGGCGCGCGCGCGCGCGCCACTTGGTCCGGGCGCGCGCGCGCGCCACTTGGTCCGGGCGCGCGCGCGCCACTTGGTCCGGGCGCGCGCGCGCGCCATTTGGTCCAAGCGCGCGCGCGCGCGCCATTTGGTCCGGGCGCGCGCGCGCGCCTCTTGGTCCGTGAGCGCGCGCGCACGCCAGTTGGTCCGGGTGCGCGCGCGCTCCAGTTGGTCCAGGCGCGCGCGCGCTCCACTTGGTCCGGGCGCGCGCGCGTGCTCCACTTGGTCCGGCGCGCGCGCGCGCGCGCCACTTTGTCCGGGCGCGCGCGCGCTCCACTTGGTCCGGGTGGCGCGCGCGCGTGCCACTTGGTCCGGGCGCGCGCGCGCGCGCCACTTGGTCCGGGCGCGCGCGCGCCACTTGGTCCAGGCGCGCGCGCGCGCCACTTGGTCCGGGCGCGCACGCACCACTTGGTCCGCGCGCCCCTCTTGGTCCACGCGCGCGCCACTTGGTCCGCGCGCTCGCCACTCGGTCCGGGCGCGCGCGCGCGCCACTCGGTCCGGGCGCGCGCGCGCGCCACTCGGTCCGGGCGCGCGCGCGCGCTCCACTTGGTCCGGCGCGCGCGCGCGCGCCACTTGGTCCGGGCGCGCGCGGGCCACTTGGTCCGGGCGCGCGCGCGCTCCACTTGGTCCGGGTGGCGCGCGCGCGTGCCACTTGGTCCGGGCGCGCGCGCGCGCGCCACTTGGTCCGGGCGCGCGCGCGCCACTTGGTCCGGGCGCGCGCGCGCGCGCCACTTGGTCCGGGCGCGCGCGCGCGCCCCACTTGGTCCGGGCGCGCTCGCGCGCCACTTGGACCGGGCGCGCGCGCGCCACTTGGTCCGGGCGCGCGCGCGCGCCATTTGGTCCGAGCGCGCGCGCGCGCGCGCCACTTGGTCCGGGCGCGCGCGCGCGCCTCTTGGTCCGCGAGCGCGCGCGCACGCCAGTTGGTCCGGGCGCGCGCGCGCGCTCCAGTTGGTCCAGGCGCGCGCGCGCTCCACTTGGTCCGGGCGCGCGCGCGCGCGCCACTTGGTCCGGGCGCGCGCGCGCTCCACTTGGTCCGGGTGGCGCGCGCGCGTGCCACTTGGTCCGGGCGCGCGCGCGCCACTTGGTCCGGGCGCGCGCGCGCGCGCCACTTGGTCCGGGCGCGCGCGCGCGCGCCACTTGGTCCGGGCGCGCGCGCGCGCCCTTGGGTGGCACCACGTTGCCCAGCACGTACGCCATCGCGAATGTGGAGTCCCATGAGACCAAGACGTCCATTTCTCCCATTTCTCCCATTTCTCCCTTCTCTCCGCTTACACCCGTTTGTTCGGTACCAATCTCGTTCCTTCCCTCTTTCCTCTCTTACAGCCCTGGGGCGGCACCGCGCTGCCCAGCACATACGCCATCGCCAGTGTGGAAACCCGCGAGACCAAGACGCCCCTTTCTCCCTTCCCCCCTCTTACCACCCTTCTCTCTGTTCCCTCCCCTTTCTCTCTTCCCCCAACAGCCCTGGGGAGGCAGTGCATTACCCAACACGTACGCCATCGCCAGCGTTGAGTCCCGCGAGACCAAGACGTCCCTGCGCCTGCGACTGTGCCTGGAGGACCCCTGGCAGTGGGCGGACCCCGGGGGACCACCCACCACCGCAGCAGCACCAGACGAGGAGCAGGCCGGAGGAACAGAGGCCGGGGGGAAGGGAGCAGAAGCAGGGCCGGCCGAGGGTAAGGGGAAGGCGCAGGGGAGGAGGTGGGGGGTGCGGCAGCGAGCAAGAGCGAACCGGATGCTGTCGTTCCTGATGGGGGCGGCGGCGGGGGGCGGCAGTGCGTGTTGGGTGAGCAAGCTGTGCAACACGTCCACCATCTCCCGGGAATACGCCGCTCTGCGCTCCGCCCCCACGCTCCCCTACATCCGCACCGTGCTCGCCTCCCACATGCCCGGCCCGGGGCAAACTCAAGCAGTCGCAGCAGCAGGAGGAGCAGGAGGAGGAGGGGAGGAAGAGGAGGAGGGAGGTGCGGGCGGGGGACAGGGGAAGCAGCAGCAGTGGCGGGTACCGGAGGGGCTGATGGAGCACCTGGCTTCCAGCCACAACGAGTCACAGTTGAGGGCCATCAAGGGCGGGCTGTCCCGCCGCCCCCTGGTGCTCATCCAGGGGCCTCCTGGGACTGGCAAGACACAGGCCATCCTGGGGTTGTTGAGCGTTGTGCTGCATGGCCGCCCGGCACACGAGATGGGGGATGCCGGGTGAGTGGGTGGGTGCCTGGTGGGTGCCAGGTGGGTGCGTGGGTGTGTGTGAGAATATCGCAGTGCAGCTCACATGGCAGCAGCAGCCCCCTCGTGCTCATCCAGGGGCCTCCTGGCACGGGCAAGACACAGGCTATCCTAGGGCTGTTGAGTGTTGTGCTGCATGGCCGGCCCGCACACGAGATGGGGGATGCCGGGTGAGTGGGTGGGTGGGTGGGTGCGTGGTGGGTGGGTGGATGGGGGTGAGTGAGAGGGAGAGTGTGTGTGTGAGTATGGCAGTGCTGCTCACATGGCAGCAGCAGCCCCCTGGCACGGGCAAGACGCAGGCCATTCTGGGGTTGCTCAGTGTGATGCTGCATGGCCGGCCAGCACACGAGATGGGGGATGCCGGGTGGGTGCTGGGTGGGTGGGTGGGTGAGAGAGCGTGTGTGTGTGCGTGGGGTATATGAGGCCATTGTGATCCACATCGTACTGTGGCAGCACCAGCAGCAGCAGCAATGGCGGCAGTGGCAGGGGCTGTCATAACCCCTCCCTCTTCCTTCTTCCCTACCACCCTTCACCCCACTTCAGCAACGGCGCCCAGCACATCACCCACATGACACGGCTGACATGGCAGCAGCGGCAGCAGCAGTGGGTGCAGGCGTCCCCCTGGCTGCACGGGGTGAACCCGCGAGAGGCCGTGCAGCCAGATGATGAGGAGGAGGGCGGTGCAGGGAGCTCGGGAGGCAATGTCTTTGGCAGCACGCAGCAGGTGGGGATTAGAAGTTTCAGAAGTGTCACAAACGTCCCCCTGGCTGCATGGTGTGAACCCCCGAAACGCCGTGCAACCAGATGATGAGGAGGAGGGGGGGGTTGCAGGGAGCTCGGGTGGCAATGTCTTTGGCAGCACACAGCAGGTGGGATGCAGCAGGTGGGGGGGGCGGTGCATGGCATGCGGCTGAGAGGCAATGAGTGGTGAATCCACTTTGCTTGGCTCACTCCCCTTGCGGGGGCTGCTTCTCCCGTGTTCTGTCGCGCGGTGCATCCATTAGCGCCCTGCCTTCCTCCCTTTCCTCCTCGCCCCTCCATCTCCTTCCGCCCTTTCCCCGTTCCCTCATCTCCACCAAACCAGCAGACCCCCTCCACCCTCTCCACCCCCATCAGGTGGAGGTGTTGGGGGGCCATCGCAAGCAGAGGGCGCACGTGCTCGTGTGCGCTCCCTCCAACGCTGCTCTTGATGAGATTGTGCTGCGCCTGCTGCACACAGGTGGGGCTCTGCCATTGCTTCACATGTCGTGTGTGGTTGTTGTTTCAATCCACGCAACTCAAAAAGCATACTAGTGCTTGCTTGTTTCTCATGTAATGCCACTCCGTCTGCGTGCGCCATTCACCCCACCCCATCCCACCCTACACGCGCAGGGTTGAGGGACGACATTGGCGGCATGTACTCGCCATCGGTGGTGCGCGTGGGGCTCAACGCTCATCACTCCGTGGCCTCTGTCGCCATGGACAACCTGGTGGGTCCCAGGGGTGAACAAACTGTTGGAATGGGATGCATGTGGTGTCGCTATGGACCACCTGGTGGGTGGGATGGGATGCATGTGATATGCATGTGTGGCGGTATTTGTGGTGCCGCATGCGACTGCATGGTCACTACACTCTATGAATTGCCACACATCACATTCCCTTCCGCTGAACACATCCCCTCTCCCCCCCTCTCTCCGCTCCTCCTCCCCGTCCCCCAGGTGTCCCAACGCGCCAGCAGCATGGCGAGGTCAGCAGCGGGGGTGGGAGCAAAGACAGCAGGGGCAGGCGGGGTGGAGCGAGACAGAATACGAGTCGCCATTCTCGACGAGGCTGCCATTGTGAGGCACCATGTCGGTAAAGCATCACGTGAGAGCACGATGTGAGAGCACGCCTTTGTGCGAGGAGAGCTGGTTGAGAGACCCCCCACATTTGCCAACGCGCCAACCTTCCTGTCACTTTTCGTTCCTGTGCAGGGCCTGTCTCCCCATAAAGCTTTGTATGTTCGCTGCATCCACACCCTTGTCCCGTGCCTTTCCTACCCCCTCCCACGCCCCGCCCCCATCCCACCTGTCCCAAGGTGTGTTCGACGCTCGCGTTCGCAGGGTCGGGGGTGTTCTCGCGCATGTCACGCCCGTTTGACGTGGTGGTCATTGACGAGGCGGCCCAAGCGGTCAGTGCAGCACCTGCCTCTCCGCTTCCTCTCTGCCTCTGTGTGTTGTACCTGCCTCTGCCTCTGTCTCTGCCGCATGCTCATGCCTGCATGCTGCCACGTGTGCCTGCCAATCCACCCCGCCCATGCCACCAGGTGGAGCCATCAACGCTCATCCCAATGACACACGGGTGCTCACAGGTCTTCATGGTGGGCGACCCTCTTCAGCTGCCTGCCACTGTGCTCTCCACGCGTGCCGTGCACTACGGGTGAGAGACCAGTGGGTGGGATAACGTTCCATGTGCGACACGTGCACTATGGGTGAGACCAATGGGTGTGACCTCTCTCAGAGGTTGGAGTCACAGCATGGGGGGCGACCCTCTTCAGCTGCCTGCCACTGTGCTCTCCACGCGCGCCGTGCACTATGGGTGGGTGGGTTGATGACGTGAGAGGCACGCTAGCAGGTTGCACCACAGTTAACATTTTTTTTTTTTTTTTTTTTTTTTGTTCGTTTTATAGGTTAGTCGTTTATTATTTTGCTGCTGCTTTTGCTGCATCCCTCATTCCCACGTCTTCTCTTGGATTTCCTCGTTCCTTATGTATCATCTTCCTACTAAGTCTCATCCATCCCCTTCCCATGTTCCATCCACCCACTCAATGTGGCACCTCCAACCCGGACCATGTCCCTTCCATACACCAGGTACCATGGCAGCATGTTCTCTCGCCTGCAGCAGGCGGGGTATCCGGTGGTTATGCTCAACACACAGTACCGCATGCACCCCATGGTATGCTCAACACACAGTACCGCATGCACCCCATGGTATGCTCAACACACAGTACCGCATGCACCCCATGGTATGCTCAACACACAGTACCGCATGCACCCCATGGTACGCTGCATGCTGAGGGAATGTTGAGTGTGCAAACTCCAAGTTTGCCCCTCTTGTTCTCTGTCAGTGCCCACTGTCAGGAATAGCCACCCAGGTGTCTGTTCTCAGATACCCATTCTCAGGTCCCCGGACGTACCCAGGTGCCCAGTGTCAGGTATCAGCGGCACATCACGGATTCTTGGATGCTCTGCTTCTGCTCCCGCCCCACAACCCCACTTCCAATGCCTCTCTTTCAAATCCCCCACACCCCATCCACCAGATCCGCCAGTTCCCCTCGCATGAGTTCTACGGGGGCGCATTAAGGGACGCACCTCAGATGGCGCAGAACACGGCACGGCCAAGGCCGTCTCCCTTGTGCCACTCACAGCCCCTCCCACCGTGCTGTCCCCCCCTCCCCCGCACGCCCCACCAGATCCGCCAGTTCCCCTCGCACGAGTTCTACGGCAGGGCACTGCGGGACGCGCCGCAGATGGCGCAGCACAGTGCAATCCCCGTCTCCCTTCTGCTGCTCACAACCACCCACAACCCCTCACCACCGTGCCGCACCCACCAGATCCGGCACTTCCCCTCGCACGAGTTCTACTACTGGGGGGCGTTGAGGGACGCACCACCGATGGCGCAGAACACGGCGCGGCCGTGGCCGTCTCCCTTGTGCCACTCACAGCCCCTCATAACCCCTCCCCACCGTGCTGTCTCCCCCTCCCCCGCACGCCCCACCAGATCCGGCACTTCCCCTCGCACGAGTTCTACGGCGGCGCACTGAGGGACGCGCCTCAGATGGCGCAGAACACGGCGCGGCCGTGGCACGCTGAGCGCGTGTTCGGGCCGCTCTTCTTCTTCGACCTTCACCAGTCCAAGGACGAGCAGCCGCGTGCGTGCCGGGCGAGCGAGGGAGATGGGGAGAGAGAACTAGGGATGATTGGGGTACGGTAGGGGTTATGAATTTGTGAGAAGTGAGAGAAAGGAGCGCGTGTTTAAACCCTTGATCTTCTTCCACCTCCATCAGTCCAAGGACGAGCAACCGCGTGCGTGGGGAATTTTTGAAAGGGAACTTAAGGGAAATAGGTAGCGGTTCTGAGTGGCTGAGAATTAGGAGCGCGTGTTTGGCCCCTTGTTTTTCTTCGGCCCGCACCAGTCCAAGGACGAGCAACACCGTGCGTGGGGCAAGTCTGACGTGCCGTGAGGTGCCATGGGGGCCCGTGTGGTTCTGTCAGGCGAGAAGAGGTGCTGTGTGGCGTGCGCACGTGAGCGGACGAAGCAGAGTTCGTGACGGTGCTGTGCTGACCACCAGGTGGGGAACCCCTTTGACCGTCACCGGCACCATGTCTTGTGTGCATCTCACTCACCCCACTCCCCTTGCTTGCACCACAGCGGGAGGCTCGTGGATGAACACGGACGAGGCGGAGTTTGTGATGGTGCTGTATCGGCACCTCGTGGCGCTGTACCCTCAACTCAAGGAGTCCTCTGACGTTGGTGTCATCTCCCCGTACAAGCACCAGGTGAGGTGCAACCTGCGTTTCATCTCCCCGTACATTTACTGCGAGGTGCGTTGCAAATGATGCGTCGGTACAACCTCTTCATCTGGACATTTCCTCATTGCTTTCCTAAATCCCCCCACTCTGGTGCCTCCTTCCAGGTGAAGCTGCTGCGGGACAAGTTTCGAGAGCTGCTGGGAGGGTTTTGAGTCGGCTCAAAACGCCCAGTGTTGCTGAAACGACTCAAGTCTCCCCCCGCCCTGGTGCCTCCCTGTTCCAGGTGAAGCTGCTGCGGGACAAGTTTCGAGAGCTGCTGGGCGAGGCGGCTCACAGAGTGGATGTCAACACCGTTGATGGCTTCCAGGTGCGCACTGCTGGTGTTGATGGCTTCCAGGTGCGCACTGCTGCTGTTGATGGCTTCCAGGTGCGCACTGCTGCTGTTGATGGCTTCCAGGTGCGCACTGCTGGTGTTGATGGCTTCCAGGTGCGCACTGCTGCTGTTGATGGCTTCCAGGTGCGCACTGCTGCTGTTGATGGCTTCCAGGTGCGCACTGCTGGTGTTGATGGCTTCCAGGTGCGCACTGCTGCTGTTGATGGCTTCCAGGTGCGCACTGCTGCTGTTGATGGCTTCCAGGTGCGCACTGCTGGTGTTGATGGCTTCCAGGTGCGCACTGCTGCTGTTAATGGCTTCCAGGTGCGCACTGCTGCTGTTGATGGCTTCCAGGTGCGCACTGCTGGTGTTGATGGCTTCCAGGTGCGCACTGCTGCTGTTGATGGCTTCCAGGTGCGCACTGCTGCTGTTGATGGCTTCCAGGTGCGCACTGCTGCTGTTGATGGCTTCCAGGTGCGCACTGCTGCTGTTGATGGCTTCCAGGTGCGCACTGCTGCTGTTGATGGCTTCCAGGTGCGCACTGCTGATGTGTTGATGGCTTCCAGGTGCGCACTGCTGATGTGTTGATGGCTTCCAGGTGCGCACTGCTGGTGTTGATGGCTTTCAGGTGCGCACTGCTGATGTGTTGATGGCTTCCAGGTGCGCACTGCTGGTGTTGATGGCTTCCAGGTGCGCACTGCTGATGTTTTGATGGCTTTCAGGTGCGCACTGCTGATGTGTTGATGGCTTTCAGGTGCGCACTGCTGATGTGCTGATGGCTTTCAGGTGCGCACTGCTGATGTGTTGATGGCTTTCAGGTGCGCACTGCTGATGTGTTGATGGCTTTCAGGTGCGCACTGCTGATGTGTTGATGGCTTTCAGGTGCGCACTGCTGCTGTGTTGATGGCTTTCAGGTGCGCACTGCTGATGTGTTGATGGCTTTCAGGTGCGCACTGCTGCTGTGTTGATGGCTTTCAGGTGCGCACTGCTGATGTGTTGATGGCTTCCAGGTGCGCACTGCTGCTGTGTTGATGGCTTTCAGGTGTGCACTGCTGATGTGTTGATGGCTTTCAGGTGCGCACTGCTGCTGTGTTGATGGCTTTCAGGTGCGCACTGCTGATGTGTTGATGGCTTTCAGGTGCGCACTGCTGATGTGTTGATGGCTTTCAGGTGCGCACTGCTGATGTGTTGATGGCTTTCAGGTGCGCACTGCTGCTGTGTTGATGGCTTTCAGGTGCGCACTGCTGCTGTGTTGATGGCTTTCAGGTGCGCACTGCTGATGTGTTGATGGCTTTCAGGTGCGCACTGCTGATGTGTTGATGGCTTTCAGGTGCGCACTGCTGATGTGTTGATGGCTTTCAGGTGCGCACTGCTGATGTGTTGATGGCTTTCAGGTGCGCACTGCTGATGTGTTGATGGCTTTCAGGTGCGCACTGCTGCTGTGTTGATGGCTTTCAGGTGCGCACTGCTGCTGTGTTGATGGCTTTCAGGTGCGCACTGCTGATGTGTTGATGGCTTTCAGGTGCGCACTGCTGATGTGTTGATGGCTTTCAGGTGCGCACTGCTGATGTGTTGATGGCTTTCAGGTGCGCACTGCTGATGTGTTGATGGCTTTCAGGTGCGCACTGCTGATGTGTTGATGGCTTTCAGGTGCGCACTGCTGATGTGTTGATGGCTTTCAGGTGCGCACTGCTGATGTGTTGATGGCTTTCAGGTGCGCACTGCTGATGTGTTGATGGCTTTCAGGTGCGCACTGCTGATGTGTTGATGGCTTTCAGGTGCGCACTGCTGATGTGTTGATGGCTTTCAGGTGCGCACTGCTGCTGTGTTGATGGCTTTCAGGTGCGCACTGCTGCTGTGTTGATGGCTTTCAGGTGCGCACTGCTGATGTGTTGATGGCTTTCAGGTGCGCACTGCTGATGTGTTGATGGCTTTCAGGTGCGCACTGCTGATGTGTTGATGGCTTTCAGGTGCGCACTGCTGATGTGTTGATGGCTTTCAGGTGCGCACTGCTGATGTGTTGATGGCTTTCAGGTGCGCACTGCTGCTGTGTTGATGGCTTTCAGGTGCGCACTGCTGCTGTGTTGATGGCTTTCAGGTGCGCACTGCTGCTGTGTTGATGGCTTTCAGGTGCGCACTGCTGATGTGTTGATGGCTTTCAGGTGCGCACTGCTGATGTGTTGATGGCTTTCAGGTGCGCACTGCTGATGTGTTGATGGCTTTCAGGTGCGCACTGCTGATGTGTTGATGGCTTTCAGGTGCGCACTGCTGATGTGTTGATGGCTTTCAAGTGCGCACTGCTGATGTGTTGATGGCTTTCAGGTGCGCACTGCTGATGTGTTGATGGCTTTCAGGTGCGCACTGCTGATGTGTTGATGGCTTTCAGGTGCGCACTGCTGATGTGTTGATGGCTTTCAGGTGCGCACTGCTGATGTGTTGATGGCTTTCAGGTGCGCACTGCTGCTGTGTTGATGGCTTTCAGGTGCGCACTGCTGCTGTGTTGATGGCTTTCAGGTGCGCACTGCTGATGTGTTGATGGCTTTCAGGTGCGCACTGCTGATGTGTTGATGGCTTTCAGGTGCGCACTGCTGATGTGTTGATGGCTTTCAGGTGCGCACTGCTGATGTGTTGATGGCTTTCAGGTGCGCACTGCTGATGTGTTGATGGCTTTCAGGTGCGCACTGCTGATGTGTTGATGGCTTTCAGGTGCGCACTGCTGATGTGTTGATGGCTTTCAGGTGCGCACTGCTGATGTGTTGATGGCTTGCAGGTGCGCACTGCTGATGTGTTGATGGCTTTCAGGTGCGCACTGCTGATGTGTTGATGGCTTTCAGGTGCGCACTGCTGATGTGTTGATGGCTTTCAGGTGCGCACTGCTGATGTGTTGATGGCTTTCAGGTGCGCACTGCTGATGTGTTGATGGCTTTCAGGTGCGCACTGCTGATGTGTTGATGGCTTTCAGGTGCGCACTGCTGATGTGTTGATGGCTTTCAGGTGCGCACTGCTGATGTGTTGATGGCTTTCAGGTGCGCACTGCTGATGTTTTGATGGCTTTCAGGTGCGCACTGCTGATGTGTTGATGGCTTTCAGGTGCGCACTGCTGATGTGTTGATGGCTTTCAGGTGCGCACTGCTGATGTGTTGATGGCTTTCAGGTGCACACTGCTGATGTGTTGATGGCTTTCAGGTGCGCACTGCTGATGTGTTGATGGCTTTCAGGTGCGCACTGCTGATGTGTTGATGGCTTTCAGGTGCGCACTGCTGATGTGTTGATGGCTTTCAGGTGCGCACTGCTGATGTGTTGATGGCTTTCAGGTGCGCACTGCTGATGTGTTGATGGCTTTCAGGTGCGCACTGCTGATGTGTTGATGGCTTTCAGGTGCGCACTGCTGATGTGTTGATGGCTTTCAGGTGCGCACTGCTGATGTGTTGATGGCTTTCAGGTGCGCACTGCTGCTGTGTTGATGGCTTTCAGGTGCGCACTGCTGATGTGTTGATGGCTTTCAGGTGCGCACTGCTGATGTGTTGATGGCTTTCAGGTGCGCACTGCTGATGTGTTGATGGCTTTCAGGTGCGCACTGCTGATGTGTTGATGGCTTTCAGGTGCGCACTGCTGATGTGTTGATGGCTTTCAGGTGCGCACTGCTGATGTGTTGATGGCTTTCAGGTGCGCACTGCTGATGTGTTGATGGCTTTCAGGTGCGCACTGCTGATGTGTTGATGGCTTTCAGGTGCGCACTGCTGATGTGTTGATGGCTTTCAGGTGCGCACTGCTGATGTGTTGATGGCTTTCAGGTGCACACTGCTGATGTGTTGATGGCTTTCAGGTGCGCACTGCTGATGTGTTGATGGCTTTCAGGTGCGCACTGCTGATGTGTTGATGGCTTTCAGGTGCGCACTGCTGATGTGTTGATGGCTTTCAGGTGCGCACTGCTGATGTGTTGATGGCTTTCAGGTGCGCACTGCTGATGTGTTGATGGCTTTCAGGTGCGCACTGCTGATGTGTTGATGGCTTTCAGGTGCGCACTGCTGATGTGTTGATGGCTTTCAGGTGCGCACTGCTGATGTGTTGATGGCTTTCAGGTGCGCACTGCTGCTGTGTTGATGGCTTTCAGGTGCGCACTGCTGATGTGTTGATGGCTTTCAGGTGCGCACTGCTGATGTGTTGATGGCTTTCAGGTGCGCACTGCTGATGTGCTGATGGCTTTCAGGTGCGCACTGCTGATGTGTTGATGGCTTTCAGGTGCGCACTGCTGATGTGTTGATGGCTTTCAGGTGCGCACTGCTGATGTGTTGATGGCTTTCAGGTGCGCACTGCTGATGTGTTGATGGCTTTCAGGTGCGCACTGCTGATGTGTTGATGGCTTTCAGGTGCGCACTGCTGATGTGTTGATGGCTTTCAGGTGCGCACTGCTGATGTGTTGATGGCTTTCAGGTGCGCACTGCTGATGTGTTGATGGCTTTCAGGTGCGCACTGCTGATGTGTTGATGGCTTTCAGGTGCGCACTGCTGATGTGTTGATGGCTTTCAGGTGCGCACTGCTGATGTGTTGATGGCTTTCAGGTGCGCACTGCTGCTGTGTTGATGGCTTTCAGGTGCGCACTGCTGCTGTGTTGATGGCTTTCAGGTGCGCACTGCTGATGTGTTGATGGCTTTCAGGTGCGCACTGCTGCTGTGTTGATGGCTTTCAGGTGCGCACTGCTGATGTGTTGATGGCTTTCAGGTGCGCACTGCTGATGTGTTGATGGCTTTCAGGTGCGCACTGCTGATGTGTTGATGGCTTTCAGGTGCGCACTGTTGATGTGTTGATGGCTTTCAGGTGCGCACTGCTGATGTGTTGATGGCTTTCAGGTGCGCACTGCTGATGTGTTGATGGCTTTCAGGTGCGCACTGCTGATGTGTTGATGGCTTTCAGGTGCGCACTGCTGATGTGTTGATGGCTTTCAGGTGCGCACTGCTGCTGTGTTGATGGCTTTCAGGTGCGCACTGCTGATGTGTTGATGGCTTTCAGGTGCGCACTGCTGATGTGTTGATGGCTTTCAGGTGCGCACTGCTGATGTGTTGATGGCTTTCAGGTGCGCACTGCTGATGTGTTGATGGCTTTCAGGTGCGCACTGCTGATGTGTTGATGGCTTTCAGGTGCGCACTGCTGATGTGTTGATGGCTTTCAGGTGCGCACTGCTGATGTGTTGATGGCTTTCAGGTGCGCACTGCTGATGTGTTGATGGCTTTCAGGTGCGCACTGCTGATGTGTTGATGGCTTTCAGGTGCGCACTGCTGATGTGTTGATGGCTTTCAGGTGCGCACTGCTGATGTGTTGATGGCTTTCAGGTGCGCACTGCTGCTGTGTTGATGGCTTTCAGGTGCGCACTGCTGCTGTGTTGATGGCTTTCAGGTGCGCACTGCTGCTGTGTTGATGGCTTTCAGGTGCGCACTGCTGCTGTGTTGATGGCTTTCAGGTGCGCACTGCTGCTGTGTTGATGGCTTTCAGGTGCGCACTGCTGCTGTGGACGCCACAGCCATGGGTGCATTCATGACAGCAAGCCTATCAGAAGGCCTGGTTGTATCCTCCTGTGTGCATACCCGATTGAGCCCATTTCTGAAACCGACCTGCCGGAGTGAATGTGAGGGGAATGGTGTGGGAGCAGGGCCGGGAGAAGGACATGATATTTATATCGTGCATGCACACGATGTGTTTTCATGCTGATGACACCATGTGTTCTCATGCTGATGACACCATGTGTTCTCATGCTGATGACACCATGTGTTCTCATGCTGATGACACCATGTGTTCTCATGCTGATGACACCATGTGTTCTCATGCTGATGGCACCATGTGGTCATGTGTTCTTCATGTGATGCATGCAGGGCCGAGAGAAGGATGTGATAATCTTCTCGTGTGTGCGGGCGGGGAGGGGCAAGGGGAAGAGCATTGGTTTTCTGTCGGACTACCGGCGCATGAATGTCGGCATCACCCGTGCCCGCTCCTCCATGCTCGTGAGTCTTCCGAGGTGACTTTTGAGTCGACTCAAAAGTCACCTCATTGGGTTTCTGTCAGACTATCGGAGCATGAATGTCGGCATCACCCGCGCCCGCTCCTCCATGCTCGTGAGTCATCTCGTGCTCGCCAGTCCTCCCGTGCTGCTCGAATCTGCTCGCCTTCCATGTGTATCCATGCTCCCATGGTCCATGCACCACTACTGCATCACCATCCCCACATCGCTCTCAAATGCATCTCCCGTGCGTACTGTTGCTCACACACTCACTCCTCCCACACCCACTCTTGCTCTATCCATGGGCACATGGGTATGCGTGCATGTGTGCATGACGGGATGCATGTGTGACCGCATGCATGCATGCAGGTGGTGGCGAATGCAGCAGCGTTGATGGTGGACGAGCATTGGGGCAACCTGGTCAACCATGCACGCTCCACCAACCGATACCTCAAGGTGTGCCCTCCTGCTGCCACATGCTGCCATGTGCTGCCACATGCTGCCATGTGCTGCCACATGCTGCCATGTGCTGCCACATGCTGCCATGTGCTGCCACATGCTGCCATGTGCTGCTACATGCTGCCATGTGCTGCCACATGCTGCCATGTGCTGCTACATGCTGCCAAGAACCCATCTCCCTCATTCCCCCCGCACCCTGCAGGTGTCCCGCCCCTTCCACCGCATCTTTGCCAGCGACCACCAGCTGCCATGTATTGTGATGCCACATGCTGCCATGTATTGTGATGCCACATGCTGCCATGTCAGCCCCATGTTGCCATGCGCTGCCAAGAGCCCATCTCCCTCATCCACCCCCCCCCCTGCAGGTGTCCCGCCCCTTCCACCGCATCTTTGCCAGTGACCACCTGGAGAAGATGAGAGCGCTGGCTCAAGCCGAGGACGAGGGGGAGGGGGCATCAGGAGCGGCAGCAGGGGGATTAGGAGCACCAGCAGCAGCACCGGCAGCAGCAGGGCCAGCTTTCAAGAAAGCACCCACGTTGGAGGATTACGGGGGGAAGCTGGACAAGGGGGATGGGGGGGTGGGTGGGGAGGGGGATGCGGTAGCGGCGGGAGAAGGGGAGGAGGAGGAAGGGGAGGGGGCGATGGGAGGGGAGGAGGAGTTAGAGGTAGCGGTGGAGGCGGGGGACTTTGATGAGGACAACATTGATGGGGAAGGGTCAGTTGTTTCGCTGCCCTGCCCTGTCTCCTGCCCCACTGCGTTGCATCCTGCTTGGTATCTAGTCTCCTGCATCTGATTCTTGAGTTTACTCAAACGGAGTTAGTGGATGAGGCGGGGACTTTCACCTCGATGGGGAGGGGTCAGTGCTTTCCTTGCCCTGCCTTTCTTCATGCCTCTGCCTCTCCTCCTGCCCCTGCCTTCTCCCCCTGCCTCAAAGCTAAGGCCTTTCCTCCTGCCCCTGCCTTAGCTCCTGCCTCCTGCCACCTCTCCCACAGTCTCATATGGCATGCTCAATTTACTTCTTGGTGGTTAATACTTATCCTGCCTCTCCCCGTCCCTCACCCCTTGCCATGCTACCACACAGCCCTTCTTGGTGATCCAAACACATGCCAAGCACATGCCATGCCCATGGCTACCATACACCACAGCAGCACCTTCACATGCTGCCATCCTTCGTTGGTCTGAGTGCATCTAAGAGCAAAGCAGTAGAGGATGGGTGGGCACCACCTTAGCCATCATTGTGGTATCTCGTTGTGGTGCAGTACACACTTAGGAAAAGCCACAGGTGTTTCTTAGCGCATTGCTGGATTGGCAACGCTTTGCTTGTGTTGTTCAATCTCAATTATTGATAACACATCGGGAAAATATATAAGCTAACATCACATGTACAGCATAAGGAGCTGCACTGTACCAAACGGTCTCATCTTCTGGAGACCTCAAACTCTTGGAGGTACTCGGGGTTGTGAGGGTAGTCTAGGCCATGCAGCACTGGCATTCTGCGCAGGTCCTCTGGTGAGTACATTGGCAGGAACCAGTACCTCCTGTCCATGCCAAACACCTGGTGTGGGATAGGAGTATGTGTGTATGGCACAGGGACACAGGGACACACAGACACAGCAACACATGGACAGAGAGGCACTCTTGAGTAAACTCGAAAGGCATGTCCTCTGGTGAGTACATGGGCAGGAACCAGTACCTTCTATCCATGCCAAACACCTGGTGTAGTGTGGGATACGAGCATGTGCATGTGTGCACGGACACAGAGGACACACGGAACATGCACACACATATGAGTATGTGGGCAGGAACCAGTACGGTACCTTCTATCCATGCCAAACACCTGGTGTGGGATACGAGAATGTGTGGATGACACAGGGACACAGAGACTCATGAATGAGTATACACACAGAGACAAGCACACAGGTACACGGGCACATCTGCCAACAAAAGAAGGGTGGAAGGAGACTGATGACAACTCTCTGCCCCCCTGACAGCCCATGAATCACGGGCCGAGAGCGAAGGGGAGAAGGGAGAGAAGTGGATGTGCCCACGTGCACACACACACACACACACACAGATATGGTGCCCCTACCTGCTCGAAGTTCCTTCGCCTGCCCAGGTCGTACCGCCATCTGTGCGACCCCCTCTTCTCAAACGCCTGCACGCCATGGCCACAGCAGGAAGAGGGAAGAAAGGAGGTGGGGGGGAGGGGCGGAGGAAGGGGAAAGCCGTGTGCATGAGCAGCTTGCACGTCTGAGGATAAGCCAAGGGGGAAAAATATTACTTCTGGGGTTGAAGGGCAGCTGATGGAAGGACGTACCTCGATGGTGGTGGTGTTGCCGAGCACGAGAGAGACGTGCATGATGAGGAATCCCAGCAGACTCACGGCGAATGCTATGTTCAACACTGACGGGACGAGCAGAGCAGAAGGGGGAATAGGGAAAAAGAAAGGGAGGAAAGGGAAGCAGAAAAAGGGAGAGGGAGGTATTAAGTGACAAATGGCAGAGGAATGGAGAGGAAGAGCAGAGGCACATGATGGAGATGGATGGATTCACACAGCCGGCACACCACCACAACAGACGAGTGAAAAGGTAATGCAGTGACGAAGGAGGCAGGTAGTGAAGGGGGGACAGGGAGAGGGAGGGAGAGGGGGCGGGGCCGGGACGAACCGAAGGAGAGGAAGACGGTGGCGAGCTTGGTGGCATCGTCGCTGGCGGAGGGTGGCGTGGTGAAGAAGTCTATGAAGTGCGGCAGCAGTACCACGGCCACCATGGCTGTCTCCACAAATGTGTAGAACTGTCGTGCAGGGATGGTGACAAGGGGGCAGGCAGGAATGGTGACAGGCAGGGGGGCAGGGACGGTGATACACACAGGGCGGAAGGGACAGTTGCACACACAGTCGGGGAGGGACGATGACCACATGGGGATGGTTGGGTGGTGGGTGGGTTGGTGGATTGGTGGGGAAGTGGGAGAGGGGATGAGGAAATATACAAGTTTGGGATAAGGTGCTGCAGGTAATTTATGGAATCGAACAGATGGAGAAAGAGTTGATGGAAGGTGAATGAGAATGGAGATTGGGAGGATAGGAAGCAGCAGTGGGACTGACGAGGAAGAGAAGAAATTGCTTGTAGTTCTTAGCGCCCACGCAGTTGATCACCCATACGCAGTGATGGTCCATCTTCAATATGCACCGCCCACCTGATGCATGCATGACATGGGGGAGTGGGATGGGGTGTGGGGAGGAACAGGAAGGCACGTGGTGGTGTGTGCGAGGGGAGAGGGAGCATGGGTGCGGCAATATGCACAAGGGAGTGAGAGTGAAGCTTGAGTGGAGCAGTGGTGGGACGGACCCTCTCGCACGAGATAGATGAACAGACAGAAACAATCACACGCACGGACAGAAACAGTCACACTCGCTGACATAGCCGGTCAGGTGTGGAGCAGAGAGTGTGGCAGCGAGACGCACAGACAGAGCAGTGGTGTGCTCGAGGCGGTTTGAACTGCAAGCACCGCTTGCACCGCCGAATCTCCACTGCCCCGCTCCCCATCCCCGCGTCCCCCATTCCGTCTCTCCCCCCCACCATCCCCGCTCCCCCTCCGCGCGACACTGCTTGCGACTGCTGCTGCTGCTGCTGCTGCTGGTCCTGCTGCTTCCCGCCGTTCTCCATGCCCGCCCTGCCGCCCGAGGGGCCCACAAGAGCAGCACGAGGGTCATCCATTGCTGAGCTGTCATCGTCATTATCGCGATCGTCGGATGCCGACTCGGACAGGACGCCAGCGCTTGCCACGCTGGCAGCGGAGCCTGAACGACCAGAGTCAGCAGAAGAATCGCCGGCGGCAGAGGGAGGGTAATTCCCAAGGGCGGCTTGCCTGTGGGTGTCTAGGGTTTGCAACGACTGAGCTTCGAGATCGTCGTCGCCGCGAAAGAAGGGATGCCAGTCCGGTGGTACACCACCAGGGTCCGTGAGCACGACGGAGAAGTAACTCCAGAGTAGCATGCCGAGCTGAGGTGGTGGGACGAGACGAGAGAGAGACGAGGGAGAGAGGGGAGAGAGCGGAGGAGACAAGGGCAAAGAGGAGGAATATCACGGATTTCACGCTGTGAATCAAACGAGTCTCGCGAGAGGCGGGTACTGCGGAATTCGGTGGGTGAATAAGCAAGCTGATGCAGACGAATCACAAGCCGGGAACGATCGTGGAAGGGTGTGACGAGGCGGAAGAGGAGGCTTACGAGGCCGTGGAAGACGGCGAGCACGAGGAACGCGAGAAACGAGGTGGAGCCTCCCTTCGATAACTCGGGGCCGTAGCTCGCGATGACTACAGCGTAGTAAGTAACCGCGACTATAGCGAGGACGACGAGGATCATAATGGATCCGAGAATCTTCAAGCCTGTGCAGAACTTGAACGCGTTCCACGCCATCGCGAATCCCTTAGTAAATAGTTACTCCTTTGCGAGATGTTCGCCTGCTCGAGTGCCTTTGCCCCCAGCTCCGTTGGATCCAACAACCTTGGTTCCTATTTCCGATTATTTAGACCGTACGACTGGCAGTTTCGAACTGATGCCTACCGCACCGCCATAGCTAGATTCCACAACGGCTGCTGGAAAGGCGAAGTTGCACAGATCCCTAGGTTCCCTCAGTTTCAACTGATACAGAGTGTTGTGGAAGTCTATTGGGATGATTCAGCATCCAGATTCTGATTGCGAAGGTTGGACAATGCAAAGCACTTAACATCAGTTGGATATATGTAGCGTGCTTTCTATACAGTGTGTTTCTTGTATTTGTTTAGTGAAATGAGAATGCGATGACCCTGCCTTGTTCCGCTATAAGGTGACTGGACAGAGCGTGTGCCAACCAGCGCTGTCGAATTGCAGTTTCAGCTTTCTCCAGTCGGCACGAACACATCAGAAGCCGCGAGCCAATCAGCGCCAAAGGCCGACATTTCATTGCTGCAAGTCAACAGCGCGGTTTGCACTATCGACTCTGTATCGAGGGAATTTGCATAACGTCACATCAGTCGATGTCGCATGTCAAGACTGTGGGTGGTTGCCGCGACTCCAAAAGCAGGCGCACATTTCGAGGGATCAAGCCATTTGCCCCCAGCATTCCTTGACTGGCTTTTCGCCCTTGCATTTCCTTCGTGCCACTCCACTCCTCCACCCAGCACGCATCTGGCCTTGCGGCCGCCATCCTTTTTCAGTTCACCCTGGAATGAGCAACAGTACCACCCTGGGTTTCCTTCCCGCTTCGACCAAGCAGCACCTACTACCTACATCCAAGAGCATTTGCTCTCGCATCGATCCATTTCATTCCATCAGAGAATCTCTTCACAAAGTTCACAGTCAGAAAATCTACTCGTCGTGACGCAACGTTCTCAGTGATCCCATCCAGCAAGCTTGTCTCAAGTAGTTATCCTCGACCGTCGAAGCCTATTTATCCAGACATCCTGCGGCAGCCTTTGAACCAAACTAAATATCTCTTCTGTGATACCTAGCCAGAATAGACCCATGGTCTCGCCAGTTGCGGCAGAGCGAGGCGCAGCCAATCAAACAGAAACCAAGTCCGTGGCGGACTCCAAGTCGGCAATCTCGAGGGTCGACTCGTGGGTCGACGACCACCTGCTGGTGCCACCTCCCCCAGCCGAGCCCGATCATATGGACAAAAGCGACGGCGAATTTGGTGACGTCGCAGATGGTGTCGCCTTCGGCGGTGTTACCGCAGACCCGCTCACGCGAAAGGTCGCAGCGTTGGAGGTAGAGAACTGTGAGATGACCGGCCGACTCTCTGGACTGGAGGCGATGCTTCGCGAAAAGGAGCAGGAGTCGCAAGAGTTGCGTCGCCAGCTGCTGGCGATCACCCGCGCGCTGGAGGAGGGCAGCCACGCCGACACGCTGTCGCGCGCCGAGCTCCTCAACCAGGTGCTCAGCCTGGCCAATCAGGTGAAAGAACTCTCCGACGAACGGGCGGCCTTGCTCAGCGCGCCTGGCGGCGTGGCATTTAACTACGGCCTGGGAGGCGGGTCTAAGAAGTCCGTCGCCTCTGAAAAGGCTCTCGACGCGCAGCCCGACGGAGAATTAGCAGGTGGAAGCAACGAGGAAGCAGGCAATGCAGAAATTGAGGATAAGCCGGGTGAGCCTGCCTCAGCGGAGGCTGCGCGGGTGTCGAGCTACCGCCCCCCGCCGCCAGAGGCGCTGACACCCGCGTCTGCTGCGGAAGAGGAGGATCATGGCACGGAGGCGCTGTCCTCGGCACCGTCAATGGCGCCGTCAATGGCGCCGTCGATGACGCCATCACGGCCGGGGACGTCGCTCTCGTCTCGATCGCAGCATCTCATCCCGCGATCTTACACCATGCCCGTGCTCGCGGCTTCGGGCCCGTCGTCCCAGTCGCGCCTCTCGGCGCTGCCCATGTCGATCGTACCGTACGACCCTGCTACTGCCGCGGAAAGCCTGGCAAATGTAACGGTGCCGTTTGCAGGGGCTATTGTTCCGTACCAGCCGCCGGACGCTGGTATAATGGCAGGAGAAGGGGAAGGCTCGGAAAGCGCAGTTGTAACGTACATGCCTCCAGCGGCTAGTACCAGTGCGGTTGGCTCTCGATCTAATCCGTTTGACCGGCCAAATACGTACGAGATGAATCGCCCGCAGGCATCGGGGCCCAGCGCGAAGTTGAGTCGCGTGCAGAGCTTCGTGCCGTCGACTGTTCCTGAAACGGCAGCAGAAGGAGCCACGTCCGGCCTCGGCGCAATGCGCGGGGCGATCGCGACGCTGATCCGGTGCGGGACGCGCCCGGAGGTTCGGGAGATTCAAATTCGGCACCTGGAGAAGCTGAACCGGTCCAAGCGGGTGACCCCAGAAGATATCTTTGCCGCCATCCAGTCGAGATGCCTGAGCATTCTGGCGCAGGTGAGACCTCCAACGCCAGCCAGGCATCACAATCATTTCTCCCTGGTATTGCATCGTGCTAGCAAAGAAACTACTTTCTGAGTGCATCGTTACATTTTTTGTTCCCTTTGTCTTCTCGTCTTGGTTTGTGCCTTGGTCAGGTGGAACCTCCGTCGGGATTCAACATTATGGGCGTGAAGGTCAAGATTCCCCGCAAGCTCACCTCCCTCTCCCTCACCTCTTCCTCCTCCGTCTCCACCACTCCCTCCAATATCCGGGTCACTGACTCGGAAGCCAAGTTCCTCACCAGCCCCTCAGTGGAGCTCGTGGCGTTCCTGTTTGCTGCTGTGGTAACGCACGCGTGGGCGCCGATCGAGTGTTTTCCGGCCATAATGGAGCAGATGGGCAACATGTATGTGCGGCGGCTGCTCATTGTTGATTTCCTGGATGCTGCCTTCAAGCGTGTGGGTCGGCTGGGAGTGGACGCTCTGGTGCAGGATCTACGGGGAATAGACAGGCTGCTAGGAGTGAAGGAGGAGAGGCTGCCTTCAATCAAGGAGCTTAGCAACTGCAAGGTGAGTTGCTTTGAAAAAGGAGTAAGTCTTTTAATCTGTCGATATACTTATGTTCTTGGAACCTGGTCTGTTGTGCAGGTTCTGGTGATGATTCACAGCAAGGCTGGCCTCCAGTGGAAGAAGAAATGGGTTTTTGGGAAGTAGGACTAGCATGGATATATGAAAATCGCATGGAAGGGAAATGTTGCTAACTTCGCATTGTGTTTAAGGTTGTATAGTATTAGTTTTGAGATGTTAGCACCATCCAAAGCTCCTCAACAAATTGATGTCCCCATGGCATAGGGGGCCAACCACACACTTTTTTAATTTCGTCACCCAAACCTCCCCAGAAGGGAAAGTAAGAATAGCAGCTGCTAGGAAGCATAAGGGGCCACCAAGGACAAGAGGTGGAGGAAATGGACCAGCCCTTTTGCATCCATTTAAACCAATACGAGGACGGTTTTCTAAAAGCAGAAGATATGGGGCAGGTCATTACCCTGTCTGTCACGCACACTCACGACTGTTTTTCATTTTGTACGATTGCCTCATCGTTTATATGTCAACTATCTGAACAAGCTTAGCAATATGCATAAAGATTCTTAGTTATTACTGCTGGTTTGTATCAGCTGGTCTGTTCTCCGATATAAAGATTTTCGTTGGTGTCAGGTCGGGTATTCCGAGTCTGTCGCAGCTGGTTTGGCGCGGGCGGGATGAATGCCCACAAAAGCTCTGCCCCTTTTAGCAGGCGCCACGAGAAGCCCTGCTTCGGATTCCGAAACATGTGTAGTCAGGGCGAGTGTCTGTCTTTCCGGGACTCCCGTACATCGAGGCGCGTGACCATTGTAACCCGTCCCGAACCAGGGTCCACCTCTGAAGCGTCACGCTCCAACCAGACCTCTTACTTTATTGAGGCTCGGTGCTCTGACGGCTGGTTCGTGCGTCAAGCGAAATCTGCGAAGGGCGTCATCGCGACAGCTTCCATCCTTCACACCCCAGACGCTGTGCGCTACCAGCCCAGCCTCCTGTCAATCCTGCAGAGGACATTTTTGAAGGGTGCGTGCGGGGAGGCTGCTTGCGCCAATTCCCAACCCCTCCCTAAACCACACTGCACAGAAATTGTACCGTTGGACAGCGTGGCGTTCTGTTACGTTCGGTCAAGGCTCGTCGCACCTCGTCGTCGCGTGGTTCACCCCTGGTCCGAGCCACGGACAGACAAACCGCCCCAAGCCCGTCACCTTCGGCCCCCCGCCCCTCGCCAGCTGCCTTGGAGTTCGCGAGGCGGCTCTCGAAACCAGAGCAGAAGCAGTGCACGGCCATCCCTGAGCTCCCTCGATATCCTCTCTTCATTTGACATTCCAGCTCCAACCTCTTGGGATTATCCTGCTTGCAGCCACTCAGATCGACCTAATGTTGTTCCGTCTGAGTTAGTAGTGTTTGAGAACTCGGTTATCGTACTTTTTCTTAGGTTAGAGGTAGTGGCTGACTCGGGCTTTCGCTTCTTCGGTCTTCCCGCGGGAAGGCATGGAGCACAACACGGGCCTTGTGGCGGGGAGCCACAACCGGAATCAGCTCGTGGTCATCCGCAAGGAGAATGAAAATGTAACAATCCCGGAAACCTGCATGCTTCGTTAGACCGAGTCTCCTCGTCCACCCCATCGTTCTCCCGTGCGCAGTTGGCCGAATAGTACTTTGTTTATTTACTTACGACTCGCCTTCTGCGTCCCTGTGCCATTGCAGAGCGCCAAGAGCGGCTTCAACCCGTCCGTCTGCCAGATTTGCGGCGACGATGTCGGCCGCACGGTGGAGGGAGACCTCTTTATTGCCTGTAACGAGTGTGCTTATCCCGTGTGCCGCCCGTGCTACGAGTACGAGCGCAAGGAGGGTAGCAGGGCTTGTCCTCAGTGCAAATCTTTCTACAAGCGACTCAAAGGTAAATTCACCAATTTTTGTCCGATTGTGACTCCGCGATGAATGCTTCGCTCTACTTTACTCGTCGGCAATATGTCAGTAGAAAAGGAGCCTGAGTATTTACGTTGGTGTTTCCAGGGAGTCCTCGGATCGACACGGATGACGACGAGGAGGAAACGGATGACGTGGAGCAGGAGTTCGGCATCTCGGAGAACAGCAGCGGTCCGGACGACGGCAACCGTCGCGGGATGTCGCAGCAGCACGGGGATCCTCAGCACCAGGGCCAGCAGCAGATGCACCCGGATGGTTCTAACGCGTACGACTCGTACCACGTCGGATCGCACTACCCGATGCTGACGTCAGGGCAGGTGGATCCCGACATGAGCATGTCGTCAGATTACAACAACGCGGGCGCCATGGTCCCCGCCTCCGCGCTCCCCAACCAGGCGTATAACTACTCGCAGAGCAACGCCGGCGACATGTCCAGTAAGCCTCAACTCCTCCCCACCCCTTCCCTCCCTTTCCAGCGCCAATCGCTACGTTGCTTCCGCACACATTTAGCTCGTTCGTCAAGTGGCTATCCGTCGAGTCCCTTGGCTCAGCCACTAGCATCATCATCGTCGTCTTCTCCCCCTTTCCCCCCCTGTGCGCACGTTCCCCCTCCCCGCGTTCCCGCAATCTCACCACCGCCTGGTCCTCGTCCCCTTCCCCCTTCCCCCTCGCCCTCCCTCCAACTTGCCCCCGCAGTGGACGTGCGCGCGCTGGACCCGAGCAAGGACCTGGGCGACTACGGGTACGGCAGCGTGGTGTGGAAGGACCGCCTCGAGGCGTGGAAGCAGCAGCAGGGCCGCGGACCCATGGGCGGCATGGGCATGAACGGCGCGCCGCCCGCGCCGCCCGTCCCCGGCCCGGACCCCATGGATACCGCTGATCTGCCCAACATGGACGAGTCGCGCCAGCCGCTTTCGCGGAAGGTGCACTACCCGTCGTCGCTGATCTCCCCGTACCGGCTGATTATCATCATTCGGCTGTTCGTGCTCGCGTTCTTCCTGCGCTGGCGGTGCCTGAACCCCGTGGACGGCGCGTGGTGGCTGTGGCTCATGTCCGTTATCTGCGAGGTCTGGTTCGCCTTCTCCTGGATTCTCGATCAGTTCCCAAAGTGGATGCCCATTAAGAGAGAGACGTACCTCGATCGCCTCGCGCTTCGCTACGAGCGGCGCGGCGAGCCGTCGCAGCTCGCGGCCGTCGATCTGTTCGTGTCGACGGTGGATCCGGCCAAGGAGCCGCCGATTACGACTTCGAACACGCTGCTTTCGATCCTGTCCGTTGATTACCCGACGGAGAAGGTTTCCTGCTACGTGCACGACGATGGTGGCGCGATGCTGACGTTCGACTCAATGAGCGAGTGCAGCGAATTCGCGAGGCGCTGGGTGCCGTTCGCGAAGCGTTACCAGATCGAGCCGCGGTGCCCCGAGGTGTACTTCACGCAGAAGGTGGACTACCTGAAGGACAAGGTCGACCCGCAATTCGTCAAGGACCGCCGCGCCATGAAGGTACGGAGAGAGCGAAGAGTGAGAGGCGAGGAGTGAGCGAGGAGTACGCGCAAGAACGCTCTGAGGGAGACGGGCAAAGGGGGTGGGGACGGGACGGGAAGAGTACGCGCAAGAACGCTCTGTAGTTAGACGTTTCCGCTTCCGGCGCCCACTCACACACACCTCCCCGTACCCGCGTGTGCCTGACTCATTCCGCGTGCGCCCGTCTGATTCCGCGTTGCGTGCGTGCAGCGCGAGTACGAGGAGTTCAAGATCCGGATCAACATGCTGGTGGCTAAGTCGCAGAAGGTCCCCGACGAGGGGTGGACCATGCAGGACGGCACGCCGTGGCCGGGCAACAAGTCGCGCGACCACCCGGGCATGATCCAGGTGTTCCTCGGCCCCAGCGGCGGCACGGACGTCGAGGGCAACCCGCTGCCGCGCCTCGTGTACGTCAGCCGTGAGAAGCGCCCCGGGTACAACCACCACAAGAAGGCCGGTGCTATGAACTCCCTGGTGAGACCTTTTCCCAAGCTAGAGTTTTTGCCCGCCCGCCGCTCTGCTCTGCGTCCCCCTCTGCTCCTTCCCGCGAGCTCGTCCCCAGCACTCACCCTCGTGTGAACGTGTACATGCTGAATCCGGATTGCGATCATTACATCGCGGACAGCAGGACACCTCCGTTTGCTCACTCGTACCGCTCCCCCCTCCCCCTCCTTCCCCCACCCCCATTTCACGCGTGCAGATCCGCGTGTCGGCCGTGCTAACGAACGCGCCGTACATGCTGAATCTGGATTGCGATCATTACATCGCGGACAGCAAGGCGCTGCGCGAGGCCATGTGCTTCATGATGGACCCCAACGTGGGCAAGAAGTGCTGCTACGTGCAGTTCCCGCAGCGATTCGACGGCATTGACCCCAACGATCGATACGCCAACAACAACACGGTCTTCTTCGATGTGAGTTGCCTCTCCCCTCAATGCGCGATGTGAGCCTCTCCCTTGAATGCCTGCCTGTTGTTTGCCGTCTGTCCCAACGGCTCGACGGCATTGACCCCAACGATCGATACGCCAACAAACAACACCGTCTTCTTCGATGTGAGTTGCGCCGCTGCCGTCGGAGAGGGGCGTTAGGACTCTCCGTGCCTCGCTTGCCATACCGACTCTCCAACCACCCAGTTTGAACCCACTACCCAAGCTCCACCTCTTCCTCTTACCAATCATTGTCTCTCCCATCCTCCTCCCCCATTCCCCGGCAACCCCTCCCATCCTCTTCCCCTTTCCCCCCTGCGCAGATCAATCTGCCCGGGCTGGATGGCATTCAGGGGCCGTGCTACGTGGGTACGGGATGCTGCTTCCGCCGGCGCGCGCTGTACGGGTACGACCCGCCCAAGGCCAAGAACAAGCGCAACAAGTGCGGCGTGCTCTGCTCCTGCTTCTCGTGCTGCGGCGGCGGCGGGCGCGGCGACAAGGGCGGGCGCAAGGGGCGCAAGGGCGACGAGGACGAGGGGACGCTGCCGCTGTACGACGGCGAGGAAGGTACGCTGACGTGGATGCTGAGCTGGATGCTGAGCTGGATGCTGAGCTGGATGCTGAGCTCCATTCCATCCTTGTAATTCCTGCCATGCCACCCACAGCGCTCCTCTCATTAGGCGTTTCTTGGTGTGTCCTCGCGCTCTCGCTCTCCCCTCGTTGTAGCCTCAACCCTTCCCACTCCCCTCTTCCCAATGTCACTCCTCTCCTCCCTTCACCGCACCCTCTCTCCCATCCCTCTGCATGAATCGAGGTGGGCGAGGGCGACAGCCTGGTCGCGCTGAAGAAGTTTGAGAAGAAGTTCGGGCAGTCGCCCGTGTTCGTTCTCTCCACGTTCCCCCTCCCCTCACCACAGCCTCATCCTCTTCCTCCCTCCCATCCGCTTCCCGGTCCGCAGTGGGCGAGGGCGACAGCCTGGTCGCGTTGAAGAAGTTTGAGAAGAAGTTCGGCCAGTCGCCCGTGTTTGTGCTCTCCACGTTCCACGAGCACGGCGGCGGAGTGGCGTCCGCCAGCCCGGGGTCCACGCTCAAGGAGGCTATTCATGTCATCTCGTGCGGCTATGAGGAGAAGACCGAGTGGGGCAAGGAGGTATGATTCGTTGGTACCCTTTGTTATTCTGTCTAATGCCAGTAGTTACCCTCCCATCCACCTCGTCTCGTGCGGACCGAGTGGGGCAAGGAGGTGCATGCTGCCGCTGCTGCTGTCTGACGTTTTCTCACTTCTCATCCTCCCATGGTTTTACACTTTCGCTTTGCTCTCGCATCCCAGTCTGTCACTCACCCCCTCACCCTACCTCACTTCCTCTCGCCCTCCGCCCTCGCTCGCCCCCATGTCCCTTGCTCTCCCTCGCTGCAGCTGGGGTGGATCTACGGGTCGGTGACAGAGGATATTCTCACGGGCTTTAAGATGCACTGCCGCGGATGGCGCTCCATCTACTGCAAGCCCAAGCGCCCCACATTCAAGGGAGGAGCGCCCATCAATCTGTCAGATCGTCTGCAGCAGGTGCTTCGTTGGGCGCTGGGCTCGGTGGAAATCTTCCTGTCGCGCCATTGCCCCATCTGGTACGGCTGGAAGGGCAACAACCTCAAGGTGCTGCAGCGGTTGTCGTACACCAACACTGTGGTGTACCCGTTTACATCCTTCCCGCTGCTCGTCTACTGCACCATTCCCGCCATCTGCCTGTTCACAAACAAGTTCATTGTTCCCGCGCTGGACACCACCTCGACGCTCTACTTCATCGCTCTCTTCATGACCATTTTCGCGACGGGTTTGCTCGAGATGCGGTGGAGCGGCGTGGGAATGACGGACTGGTGGCGCAATGAGCAGTTCTGGGTGATTGGAGGCGTGTCGGCGCATCTGTTCGCCGTGTTCCAAGGCCTGCTGAAGGTGCTCGCCGGTATCGACACGAATTTCACTGTCACTGCGAAGCAAGCAGAAGACGGGGAGTATGCAGAGCTTTACCTCTTTAAGTGGACTTCCCTGCTCATCCCGCCGCTCTTCCTTCTCATCATCAACTTCCTCGGGATTGTCTGCGGCGTGGCGACGGCAATGAACACGGGCGATGGCAACTGGGGGCCGCTGTTTGGCAGGCTCTTCTTCTCCTTCTGGGTCATCATGCATCTGTATCCCTTCATGAAGGGTCTCGGCGGTCGCAACCAGGCCATCCCCACGATTGTCATTGTGTGGTCTGTGCTGCTCGCGTCCATCTTTTCGCTGCTGTGGGTCAAGATCGACCCCTTCTCTTCTACGGCGCCCAGCTCTAGTGAGACCCTGCAGCAATGCGGTGTGTCGTGCTAGGTGGAGCCATACGGTAGCTTTGCTTGCTCAGGTGAACTGCCATTCAATCGGTAGATTAGGATACGGTAGGTAGAAGCGACGCTAAGAGCCTGTTTATTGGAGCAGCGCCGTGTTGCTTCTTTTGTGTTTCTAATACTGCTAGGCTTGCATGAGTGACATTATAGGCGCCTGGGCAATGCCCAGCTGAAAGGATATGCTAGGCAGTAGCCTGGACTCTGTATCTTTGGGTGTATTTGAGCTTCAGAATAAAGCAATTCAAGTTCATGAAACTCTAGAAAGGGCAAATGCAGGATGAAAGGAAGGAAACATAATGAGGAGAATCATACAGTACCATACCCACCCATATTATAACCAGCACACGGAAAAGGCGTCGGTACAACAATGGTCAAATTTGGTTGGTGTCCCTCCCTGGATCTTACCGTACAAATCAATTCTATAAAGGCATGCATTCTATGCAATGCACTTCCAATTCAGTACAACATTTCTCGCAGGGGTAGTACCAGTACTAGTAGAACTAGTATAACTGCCTGAGCAGAGAAAAAACAGAGTTGTGTGAGTCAGTCAGTGACCTTAGGAAAAGCATCTGTGAAGTGCAGCGGAGACAGGCGGCAACCACCGAGCCTTTGCGCCATGCAACGCCCCACTCCTTTGCTTCTTCCCCACGGCACCTGCACCTCTAGCACCTGCCTCCTGCCCTCCAGCTCCCCTCCCAGCTTCACCGGTCTTGCAGTTGCCACTGGTCAAAGGCTGCACGAATCCTTCCCCCCCTGCTGCCGCCACTGCTGCAGCAGCTGTGGCAACAGAGCTAGTGCTCTGGTTAATGCCAGTGCTAGTTTTGACGGCCTGATCAGCATTGCTGGTGCCGTATCCACTGTGCTTGAGCACACAGCTGGCCTCACTGCCAGCTGTAAGAGAGCGGCAGGCTGCTGCTGCTGATGTGTCGCTGTAATTTCCAAGAGCACCCTGGCTAGGTTTCTGCACCCGGTGTGCGTGGTTGCTGTCTGGGGACGCGGCGAAAAATCTCGAGAGTAACTGAGAGGGAGAGGAAACGAGAGAGGAAGGCGAGAGGGGAGAGAGTGCTGGCGATGTGGCGCCGCTGGGAGGGGCAGTGCAGAAGCTACCAGGGGCAGCAGGGCAGCGTGAAGCAGGATCAGGGCAGCGTGAGGCGGCAGCAGCAGCGCAGTGTGAGGCGGCAGCAGGGTCAGGAGACGGTACCCAGCGCCAGTCCACAGGGGGGTAGGGACAGAGCTCGGGAAGCGCATTCACGCTCACTCCGCGCCAATGCCCAGGCTTGCACAATGCACCATCAGGGTTGCATGAAGCGGCAGCAGTAGCGCAGTGTGAAGCGCCAGCAGGTTCAGGAGACGGCACCCAGCGCCAGTCCACAGGGGGGTAGGGGCATAGCTCGGGAAGCGCATTCACGCTCACCCCACGCCGATGCCCAGGCTTGCACGAGGCAGCAGACGAGGAGGAACGTGATGGGGCGGCTGATGGTGCACCTGCTGAGGCCCCTGCAGAGGCACCTGGTGGGACACCTGAGGCATCTGAAGGGGAACATGACGGCCGTTCACTCCTCCGCGGCGGAGCGCCCTCTCTCTTTACTCCTGTCTCGCCTGCGCTATTTTCGCGGCCGTTTGGGACAATACGGCCGCTGCAGCCGCCATGGCTGGCATCTGGCGGCCCATACTCACCCAGATCCCCGCAGCTGAAGCTGCGCCTATGATCTTCCGCGGACCAGTCGCGGCTGCGCGCACTCTCCGCCGCCAGGACCACAACGGCTTGCGAGTCCGGGTGGCGGAAGCTCTGCCTGCGCCACTCCGCCACGGAGCGCGCAAGCTCCGCGTTGGCCTCCCGCGCCATGCGGCGGAGGTGGCGGCGGCGGCGGCGGCGCATCTCGTTCTCGTTGCGGATGTGGTGGTCGGCGGAAACATCAGGCGCGACCATGCCCTGGTGCGCCAAGTGGGTGATTTCATCTTGAGGAACAGCGCGCCAGTCAATAGCGGGGATGGGGCAAACAGTAGTGGCGTCCATTGCACAGGGGGTAATAGTGTTATTCTTCTGACACGGATTCCAGAGAGTGGCGCGCAAGGCACGGATTCCAGAAAAACCGAGTTTCTACTAAACCTCAGGACGACGACTAGGAGGACACATAGCTGGCGAGTTGAAAGCACGATTCCCGAAGTTACTCCGAGCCAGAATGGCTATCAAGGTCAACACACGGCATGGCTGGGCGAGGTAAACATAAAGCGCTTCCCCATTCGGCAGAGCTCCTAAAATGGCATCGGACGAGCGGGGATGTGAGGGATGTGTCGAGTCGAATCGCCCATCAGCCCTCGGACGAGCTGAGCTCCGCCAACGTTTCTGTGACCGCGACGGATGGGAATAACGCGAAGATTCGTTTACAAGTAACAAAAATCGGTTCAAGACTCAAGAGCGTCGGGTAGGTGACGTCGATGTCAACACTCGTGCGTTCGCCTCAGTCCTTGCATGGTCGACACAGAACGGAACGCCTGAAATGCGACAGCAGATTTGGTGAAGCGTAGATCACGTTGGCGAGTTGTGATGTTGGTTCGACATCGCATGATGCCAGCACGTGCGACGCCGAGCAGCTGTTGGCCGTTAGTTTGACGTTGACGATATTCGTTTTATAGATTCGAGGTCACAGCAGCCTACGGCAGATAATGTAATGACGACGCCACCGCATAGTTCTTCCCACGACATTACGTGGCTCCCGTCGAAGGACGATAATTCGGAGATACGTGGGTCCAGACAGCCGGCCATAAATGGAATTTACTAATATTTTCAGCAACAGCTGGCTGCACAGCGAAGAAAGTGAGGTGACGCCACTGACCATGGTTGCTTTGCGGGGAGGAGGACGGAAACGACGGGTGCAGCAGACAGCTGTGCAGAGCAGACAGAGGAATGACGCGGAGAAAGAAGGGAAAGGGGGAGGGTTGAATTGAGGCGGAAGCGGAAGGGGAAGGGGAAGGGGAACGTTGGGGGGAATCAGCACGTTACAGCGGAGCGGAAAGATGAGCTCGAGGTGGCACGTGGATGTTCTGTACGGTTCGGCAGGTGTGATTCGTGTACAGTAAACCCGATTTCCTAACGAAATGAACAAAATATTTTCAGCGGGCACTGTGCTGCTGAAGCCGAAGGGTTGTTGTGGGGCAAGTGCAAAGTGACTCCATGCAAGCTGAAAGTGGGCTCCAGTTTCTTGGCTTTAAATGTATTATTAGACGGGGTGCCTGCCAAGCCACCACCTTGATTGAAAAAAGCCTGGGTGAAATCTGGAGCCAGTTCTTAGCTGAATTTGGTTTTGAAACACTTGTAGTTGTAATCCTGGCTTCTGACAATACCATGTGAGATTACAACTGCTTATGAGTGGTCAGGACTCAAGACTAGAGCACGCATGCAGTTTTGTTAGATGAGATCTTGATTGTTTGAAGGTTCCATGGCATCAGCACTGTGCTGAGAAGGACCAACACTGTCTCACTATACCTATATGCATGATGGACGCAGACCGAATGCTACTCCTCATTCACTATGTCGTATGCGACGGATATCCTTAATTGTGTTACTGTACCATATGTGCATGATAAACCCTCAAACGGTGTTCGGGTGTTGCTAGGAGTGTGCTGGTACCGACATGCATGCAAGAGGCAGAAGCAGAGACAGTGGCAAGACCTAGGAGGCAGGAGGCAGGAGGCAGAGACAGTGGGAAGCGGAAGTGGTTGGTCTGGTGCTGCCAAGCAGATAACAAGGTGATTCATTCACTCACACCGGGCATTGCCTTTTCAATGGCTCACTTGTTGCCTGCAAGCAACGGAGGTGCAAGGGAACGGCAAGAGACAAGAGAGCACGGTCACGTAAAGGAATGGACAGACTCGTAGTATAGTCTTCTTGGCCTTGTATCCTACACCAGTAACTAACCAGTATACAAGGACATAACTCCCTGCGAAGAAGCTAATAGTGTTGAAGAAAAGGCGCAATGAGCAAGAGAAGGTGAGATTGGACAGAACAGATCAAAACACCACCCCACCCCACCCCACCCCCCAAAACCCCCCACCCCCCGAAAAAAAAAAGGTGTGGCACGGGAGAATGGTGGGACTTACAAGGGGGACGAGGGAGGGTAGCAGGGGTGGAGGGAGAGGAGGGGCGGAAACGTCAGGCAGAGCTGCTGGAGCGCAGGTGCATGACCTTGCCTATCGCCACTGTCTTGCCTGGCGGGGGGGAGTGGCGGGGGGAGGGGGATGGGGAGAGGGGGAGAGAGGTGGTAAGAGGTGAGGAGGAAAAACGCAAGGCAGAGCTGGAGCGCAGATGAGTGACCTTGCCAATTGCCACTGTCTTGCCTGCAAGGAGGGGAGTGGCGGGGAGGCGAGGGTGAGGAGGGGAGAGAGGGGACGGGAAGTGGGGAGAGGCGAGGGGGAGGGAGGCATGAGAGGGGTAAGGGGGCGGATAAGGGAGAGCAGTGTGGGAATAGGCAGATTAATGGCAACATGAACAGCATAACGTGAGCGGGAAAGGCAAGCAGTAACGCTGGTTCTGCAAGGCTGTTAATGGGGCGAAGGAGTGCAGTGCAGGTGGTGCCACTCACCCTCGTCGCGCAGAGTGAAGCGGCCGAGCTGAGGGAAGTCGGAAAACTTCTCCACACAGATGGGGTCGCTCACCTGGGGGTGGGGGTGGGGGTGGGGTTGGGAGGATGGAGGGGAGGGGGGTGGGTGGATGGGGGTGTGTTAAAAAAATCTCAAAACCAGAGTGACGCTGCCTCTCTCTCTCTCACATCAGAACCACCCCACACTCCGCACCTTTCGCCCGTCAACCCCTTGTGAACACACCTGAATGAGCACAGCCACGATAGCACCGCTCTTCACAAACAGCGGTTTATTTTTCATGGGCTTCTTGGTCTTGAGGTCCGTCTGCTGCCCCCTGCTGCCCGTCCCACCCCTGCATGCCCCTTGCTGCCCGTCCCACCCCATATACTCCCCTCTGCTCGCCCCTCAACCCTTGTCAACACACCTGGATGCGCACGACCACAATGGCACCGCTCTTGACAAACAGCGGCTTCTTCTTCATGGGCTTCTTGGTCTTGAGGTCCGGATGGGGGCCCTGCTGTCCCTCCCAACCCATACTCCCCACTGCTCGCCCCATACTCCCCACTGCTCGCCCCATACTCCCCACTGCTCACTCCTCAACCCCCCTTCACACACCTGAATGCGCACAACAACAATGGCGCCACTCTTGACAAAGAGCGGTTTCTTCTTCATGGGCTTCTTGGTCTTGAGGTCCGTCTGCTGCAGCAGGCTGATGATCTCACACTCCTCCACCACGCTGTGCACATGCAGCACCGCTTTGTACCCCGCCGTGAAGATCGCCTTGTGATCCAGCAGCTCTAGGATCTGCCGGGCAGGGTTTAAGGGGGTGCAGAGATAGGAGGGAGGGGGAGAGGGTGGGGGAGAAAGGGAGAAGGCGGAGAGGGAAGAGGGAAAAAGGAAGGGGAGATGGAGGAAGGTGAAAGGGAGGGAAAGAGGGGGTCGAGTGAAGTGGAGGGCAGAGAAATATTACAAAGATGGGTGCACTGAAGTGGTGAGAAGGTGACCTTGTGCAAGGAAGAAGAACTAAGCCCAGAAAAGGAGGGTTACCTGCAGCTGGGCGTCAAACTCTGTGCACACTCCAATGGGACGCTCTGCAGGGATGGGCGCAGGGAGAGAAGACGAGGCGGGGAGAGCAGAAGAGGAGAGGAGATTGCTGATAAATTACTCGCAGGGCTGGGTGCACGAAGGGGAGGAAGTAAGGGGGAGGGGACTGCAGGTGGGATTGAGAGAGAGGCGTGGAGGGGGAATGGGTCGATGGGAAGACGAGGGAGATGCTACAAGTGTGCCACATCGGTGATTGCGATGAGTTGAGGCAATGGGTCGAGGGGAGGAGAGAAAAGGGCAAAGCACTGACTTCAGGAGGAGAGGAGAGGAGAGGAGAGGAGAGGAGAGGAGAGGAGAGGAGAAGCAAGGCACTGACTGCGGGAGGAGAGCACGAAGCCGGCGGAGATCTCCTCCTCCTCGATGCCTGTGAGGCGCACCCGGAGGTTCTCCCCCGGCAGGGCGAATGTCACCTCGTCGTTGTCCCGGAATATGGTCACTACCTTCACCACCGTCTGTGGGAGGGGGGGGGGGGGGGGGGGGGGGAGCGGGGGAGGGGGGGTTGGTGCAGGGGGATAAGGGGCAAGGTAGCTGAGGAGAATGGATGACACCTCGTTGTTGTCCCGGAATATAGTCACCACCTTCACCACCGTCTGTGTGAGAGGAGGGGGGAGGGGGGGAGTAAGGGAAAGCAAGATACAACAGAGGTTAGATAGAACGATGAGGAATATGGTTCAAACTGGATATGACCTGACTTACTCAGAATGGCCTGCCTTACCTCATTCGGCATGACTTGCTGTACTTGGCATGGTATACCTGATTGGGAATGACTTACCGTATGGCATGGGGTTTACCTCATAGGGCATGACTTGCCGCATTTGGCAAGGCTTACCTTATTGGGCATGACAGTGAGTGTGTCGCCTCGCTTGATGCAGCCACTCTCCACCTTCCCCATGACCACCGTGCCCATGTCTCGGTACTTGTCTATGATGGGCATTCTGGTGGGCGGGCGAAGGGGGAAAAGGGGGGGAAGGGACACGGGAGTAGGGCCGAAGAGAGGAGGGGGACAAGCACATGACCCATTAGCCACCACCACCTTACCCATCACCACCGTACCCATGTCTCGGTACTTGTCAATGATGGGCATTCTGATGAGGGGGAGGAGGGGAAACGGAGGAGGTTGAAAGAGAGGAGGGGAGGAGGGGGATAAGAACATGACGCACTAACCAGCACCGCCTTTCCCAACACCACCAGAATGTGTCTCAGAACTTCTCTAGAACAGGCAGAGGAGGAGAGCGATGAGGCACTCCCTATAGTAACATAATTGCAACCACCTATTACCCAGCACCACCGCACCAAGCACCACCGCGCCCAACACCACCGCACCCAACACCACCGCGCCCAACACCACCGCACCTAGCACACCGTGCCCAACCCCGGCTCGGCTCCAGCCATTGGTCACGCCAAGGACAAGAACGCAGCTTGCACCTGACAACCAAGGTGGTTCGCACCTGACAACCAAGGTGGTTCGCACCTGACAACCAAGGTGGTTCGCACCTGACAACCAAGGTGGTTCGCACCTGACAACCAAGGTGGTTCGCACCTGACGGGGCCCTTGGGGTCGCGGTCGGGCGGGGCGAGGGCGTCGAGCCTTCAAAGCAGAGGGGAACGGGCGCCTTAGCTTGTGATGAGCTGCTTAGGCTCCATACATTGTAAACGCAGTGCACACCTGACGAGGAACCCTAAAGCCGCACCTGACGGGCCCCTTGGGGTCGCGTTCGGGCGGGGCGAGGGCGTCGAGCACTTCAAAGAAGCACGGCCCATCGTACCACGGGCACACGTCCTTCTTCACTCTCTCCTTCATGTTGGCGCCCTGGATGCCCGATATCGGTAGGTACTGCACGTCTGCACGCACGGGAGGGATGGGCGGGAGGGTGTGAGTCGGTCGCACACAGTCCTTTGTGTTAGCGCCCTGGATGCCCGATATCGGTAGGTACTGCACGTCTGGTTGGGGAATAGAAGGGAGAGCGTGAAGGAGGGTAGGAGGTAGGGGGGAGGGAATGAGAAGACTTGTGAGATGCACAGGTGAGGTGAGGGACAAGAGTGGAGTGGGCAAGAATCATTGCACACACACACAAACTTCCTCTCCATCCCCCTTTTCATATCCCGAAAACGGGATTAAAAAAAAAGTTTTGCAGTTGCGCTGGCACGTACCTTTCTTGGTGTTGTAGCCGCACTGCTTGAGGAAGGGCGTGAGCTTGGTGACGATCTCGTCGTACCTGCCGTAAGGGCAGTGCGGTGGGGGGGGGAGAGGTACGAGGAATGAGCGCAGGGCAAGCAGACGGAGCAGGTGAAGGGAGCTGGGGGGAGGAGCAGGGAGAGGGGGGAGAGGCGGCGGAGGGGACGAGAGGAAGTGCAGGTGGGAAGGGGAAGGGAGGGCAGCAAAGTGAAAAACGAGTTGGGCTTAAAGGGCAGGTGAGAGTGGCAGCTATCCGTCTGTCTCCGCTTGCTTCACTCCACTGCATAGGAGGTCGTCCATCCTGGTCACCACCACCACCAGCTTGACCCATCCACGTCCCCCCGATTGCCCCTATATACTCCCATCCTCTCCCATTTCTCACCTCTCCTCCCTCCCCTTCCCCTCCCCCCCCCCTTCCTCCCACCTCTCCTGGCTCCACAGCACGGACGGGTCGTCCATCTTGCTCACCACCACCACCAGCTTCACACTCATGCCCTCCCTGTGGCATTCCCCTCTCCAATCTTCCATATCCCCTCTCCCAACCCCACCCCATCGCTCACCGCTCCTGGCTCCACTGCCCGGACTGGTCGTCCATCTTGCTCACCACCACCACCAGCTTCACACCTCCTCACCTCGTCACACCCGTGCCTCCCTGGGTCCTTCCCCTCTCCCCTCTCCCAACCCCACCCAACCATTTCTCACCGCTCCTGGCTCCACTGCACGGAGGGGTCGTCCATCTTGTTCACCGCCACCACCAGCTTCGACACGCCGAGCGTCTTGGCGAGCTGCGCGTGCTCGCGTGTCTGCCCTCCGCGCTCAAAGCCCGTCTCAAACTCGCCCTTGCGCGCCGCTATCACCAGCACTCCCACGTCCGCCTGTGACGCCCCGCTGATCATGTTGGGCACATAGTTCTTGTGACCCTGAGAGGGAGGGGTGAAGTGAAGGGTGGGATGGAAGGGATATCTTAATGCGCTGCTGCCAGTCCGCACCGGCACTTCCATGCAGCTATCACCAGCACTCCCACGTCCGCCTGTGACGCCCCGCTGATCATGTTGGGCACATAGTTCTTGTGGCCCTGAGAGGGAGGGGTGAAGTGAAGGGTGGGATGGAAGGGATATCTTAATGCGCTGCTGCCAGTCCGCACCGGCACTTCCATGCAGCTATCACCAGCACCCCCACGTCCGCCTGTGATGCCCCGCTGATCATGTTGGGCACATAGTTCTTGTGACCCTGAGAGGGAGGGGTGAAGTGAAGGGTGGGATGGAAGGGATATCTTAATGCGCTGCTGCCAGTCCGCACCGGCACTTCCATGCAGCTATCACCAGCACCCCCACGTCCGCCTGTGATGCCCCGCTGATCATGTTGGGCACATAGTTCTTGTGACCCTGAGAGGGAGGGGTGAAGTGAAGGGTGGGATGGAAGGGATATCTTAATGCGCTGCTGCCAGTCCGCACCGGCACTTCCATGCAGCTATCACCAGCACCCCCACGTCCGCCTGTGATGCCCCGCTGATCATGTTGGGCACATAGTTCTTGTGACCCTGAGAGGGAGGGGTGAAGTGAAGGGTGGGATGGAAGGGATATCTTAATGCGCTGCTGCCAGTCCGCACCGGCACTTCCATGCAGCTATCACCAGCACCCCCACGTCCGCCTGTGATGCCCCGCTGATCATGTTGGGCACATAGTTCTTGTGACCCTGAGAGGGAGGGGTGAAGTGAAGGGTGGGATGGAAGGGATATCTTAATGCGCTGCTGCCAGTCCGCACCGGCACTTCCATGCAGCTATCACCAGCACCCCCACGTCCGCCTGTGATGCCCCTCTGATCATGTTGGGCACATAGTTCTTGTGACCCTGAGAGGGAGGGGTGAAGTGAAGGGTGGGATGGAAGGGATATCTTAATGCGCTGCTGCCAGTCCGCACCGGCACTTCCATGCAGCTATCACCAGCACCCCCACGTCCGCCTGTGATGCCCCGCTGATCATGTTGGGCACATAGTTCTTGTGACCCTGAGAGAGATGCAAGTGCGGAGAAAGACAGGGTGAATGCGAGTTAAGATCAAACGGAAGGTGATGACCTGAGTTGACTGCTCATCGGATCCTGCCTGAAGCACTCACCCCATTCCCCCACAGTCCCCTGAGAAAAGAGACGTGAGTTTGAAAACGTAGGACTGCAAAAGGAAACATTGTAGTCTTAAAGCTCAAGGCCCAAATTGTTCAGGATTACTAAAGTTGACCCTTGGGTGGTGGGAAAGCAGAGTAGGAAAGTCGAGGTGTTTGAGGGGTGTAGGGGTTTGGTTTCGCCCAGCTTCTCGCCACACTCAAAACAAAATTCGCTGACTCAGCAAAGCCTAGGGGACGCTCAGGTTTGGTTGCGCGAGTCCCATATTGCACAAATATTACTCTTGCCAGTTTCCCGCACCACCTGTTCCATTCGCTGACTCAAATGTTCTGGCCAATCAGATGGCTTCGTACATTTCGTAACCACAATTCGCCCAGCTAAAGCTGCAAAGCAGCACTCGATCAACCTTACTAAACTTGCCTCGCGCGGCCCGCAATTTGGGCCTTGAGCTTTAATCAATAGTACTGCATTCTTTCAACCATTCTCTGAAGCTTTACAGAAGATGCTTACAGGGGCGTCCAAGATGGTTACTCACAGGCGCATCGAGAATGGTGTATCGCTTCTTCTCCGTCTCAAAGTGCGCCCGCCCAACCTCCACTGTCTTGCCCTGCCAGGGGGAGCGCGCAGGGAGGCAGGGAGAGTGGAAGAGTGGGATGGAGAGTGGGAGAGGAACGAGTGTGAGCGGAAACTTGATGGCAAGGCATGTGTCCTCCTGTGGTAAAGAGACGCAGGGCAACTGTCGTTCAACAGACACTGGTTGGAGGAACGGGACCACCCATCCTGAGACGACCATCCACACGGCCCAGCACCCGCACACCCCAGCGCACCCCAGCGCACCCCAGCGCACCCCAGTGCACCCCAGCGCACCCACCTTGGCTCGCTCCTCCTCGTTGGTGTCCATGATGTATGCCATGTACCTGCCATGCTCCCATGCACACCATGCACACCATGCACACACACGCACCCACACACAAATACACGCACACAGATACACACCATGCACGCGCTCACGTATGCACACGCACGCACGTACACGCACACACCACGCACACACACGCACTAGTATGAGCCATCAGAACGAGGAAGGAAACGGGCCAACTCATCATGATTGACCTCCCCAACCGCTGGCCGACCTACCCACCCCACGGCCCAGCTTCCCACTCTCCTCAACAATCCGCATCATCCATCTCTCTCTATCTTCATCCTCCTCTGTGCCCTCTCACCCCAAGCTCCCTCTCACGTCCTCCAACACCCTTCCAGCCACCATCCTCCCCATCCGGCCCCATTTAGTCCTTGGCCTCCCCCCCCCCCCCTCCCCCGCCATCCTTTCCACCCTCCCCACTAGCCCTCGCACCCCAGCACAGCAGCGCATCGGCCCCCACTCTCCCCCCATCACCCCACCCCCCCTCGCAAAAGCTCTCGCGGTTCTTGTCTTTGGCCTCGCCCCCCCCTCCCCCCCCCCCCCCCGCTATCATTTCCACCCTCCCCACCAGCCCTCTCACCCCATCCCCCCGCGCACCAGCTCTCGCGGTTCTTGTCCTTGGCCTCGCGCTCGTATTTCTGGATGGTGCGCTCGTCCACCATGTCCGCCAGGTACAGGATCTGCCCCCCGATCGTCGACTTCCCCGCGTCTGCCAGGTGAGGGGGCGCGCAGGGTGGGGGGAGCGCGCAGGGCGGGGGAGTGCACAAGGTGAGGGTGGATGGAGCGGGCACGTATAGAGTGAGTGGAAAGGGCAAGAGCAGCCTCATGGTCTGGATGGTGCGCTCGTCCACCATGTCCGCCAGGTACAGGATCTGCCCTCCAATCGTCGACTTGCCCGCGTCTGCCACAAGGAGGGAGCACAGCGCGCAGGGTGGGGGGAGAGCGAAGGGCGGGGTATGGATGGAGCGGGCACATTCAGTGTCAGTAAAAGGGGCCCGGGGGAGCCTCATGGTCTGGATGGTGCGCTCGTCCACCATGTCCGCCAGGTACAGGATCTGCCCTCCGATCGTCGACTTGCCCGCGTCTGCCACAAGGAGGGAGCACAGCGCGCAGGGTGGGGGGAGAGCGGCGGGGTATGGATGGAGCGGGCACATTCAGTGTCAGTGAAAGGGGCCCGGGGGAGCCTCATGGTCTGGATGGTGCGCTCGTCCACCATGTCCGCCAGGTACAGGATCTGCCCTCCGATCGTCGACTTGCCCGCGTCTGCCACAAGGAGGGAGCACAGCGCGCAGGGTGGGGGGAGAGCGAAGGGCGGGGTATGGATGGAGCGGGCACATTCAGTGTCAGTGAAAGGGGCCCGGGGGAGCCTCATGGTCTGGATGGTGCGCTCGTCCACCATGTCCGCCAGATACAGGATTTGCCCGGCGATCGTCGACTTGCCCGCGTCTGCCAAATGCAGGGCGCGGAACACGCAGGGTGGGGGGAGCGGAGCGGGCACGGTGGATGGAGCAGGTGCGTATTGTGCGAGTAGAATGGGCAAGCCGCAAGAGGAGCCTAATTTTCAGAGGGAGAAGGCACGAAGCATCGGCACATTGACTGAGCGCGCACGCACTGAGCGCGCACGCACTGAGCGCGGACGCACTGAGCGCGGACGAGCACGTACCGACGTGGCCGATGAAGACGAGGTTGAGGTGCAGCCGCTTGTCCTCCGACTCGGGGATCTCAAACTCCTCCTCCGCCTCCTCCTCCTCCACCACCACTGCTGCTGCCGCCGCTGACGCTGAAGCCGCTGCTGCCGCTTCGACCTTGGCGGATTCTGCTGATCCGTCTGTGGGGCAGCGGACAGACAGACAGAAAACGGCATGGGCGCGGAGAGACGAAGCAGCAGGAGAAGTTGATGTGACCTCGGTGCAAGTCGTGGGAAGCACAGAAACCGATGGAGGGCACGCAACTCGTACCGCATTGAAAGCTGGACGGAAAAATCGACGGAACTGAGGGCAAAACTCTGAGCGGAACTCCAGGCGGAAAGGGAAGTGTTCAGGCTGGCGCGTGCGAGCGTACCTGCAGGTGCAGCAGGGGCCGCTTCGTCCTCGTTGATGCCCACCGCTGCCACCGCCGCTGCTGCCGCGTCCACTGCGTGCGGGAAAGGCCCGACGGGGCGCGGGGAATGGAGTGCGGGGAATGAAACACGGAGAATGGGGAGCGGGAAATGAGGCGCGATAGTGGGGCGCGGCGAGGGAAACCGCGCGAGAGGGCGGAACGAGGGGGAAACTGAGGCGACAGCGAGAAAGGAAGGGAGAAGGCGAAGGAATGGATATACGCGTGGGGGAACAAACAAGTATTGCACGCGACCCGCCAAGGCTGACGGCAAGTGCTCGTTATGGGACGTGACCAAGTGGCAACCACGCGCGCCACGCAGCTGAGCAAACGCCTCGCTCAATAAGACCTCGTTCGCAATCACCTGCTCCGTCGCTTTCCACCGGGGCTTCCGCTTCGCTCTCCACTTTCCCTTCCGCTTCCGCTTCCGCGGGCTTCTCCTCCTCCGCCGCGGGCGGAGCAGCGGCTGCGACGGGCGGAGCGGGTTCCGCCGCTGCTGGAGCGGGGGCCGCCGCGGGTGCAGGAGCTCCGAGAACCTGGCGGAGACACGCGGGGAGGCGGAAGCAACGCCAAGGGGAGGCGGAAGGCGGCGGGCTAGTTGTGAGCGCGGATCCGAGAAACGACACGCGGATATGAGTGGGAAGGAAAAGAATCGGCTGTAACAGCCGATCAGATGCAGCTGCGAGACGCTCTACGATTACTCGCGAAAACGTGACGAATAGTGCGATCGCGGAATTAGGGTGAAGCGATGCTTGCGAAATTCTGCGAGGTGGTTACCATTACCTTCTGCACGGAGGGTCCACCGAGCGACTTGGTGACCGCGGGGCCGCCGAGGGTTTTCGAGACTGCAGGGCCGGACGACACGGGACCGCCGAGGGTTTTAGAAACAGCCGGTCCCGACGGTTGCTGCTGCTGGGGCTGCGCCGGTTGCGCATACTGCTGCTGCTGGGGAGGCGGCGCGCCCGCAACGCCTCCGCCGCCTCCTCGTCCCCCGCCGTATGCTCCGCCTCCCCGCCCTCCGCCACCTCCCCGTCCCCCCCTTCCTCCATACTGCTGCTGCTGCTGCTGCTGCTGCTGCTGATGATATCCTCCCCCGCCGTACTGCTGCTGCTGATATCCACCTCCGCCGTACTGCTGTTGGTTGTAACCGTACCCGCCTTGGTTGTAACCGTAACCGCCTTGGTTGTAACCGTACGCCGCTTGCGGGTTGTAACCGTACCCGCCTTGGTTGTAACCGTACGCGCCAGGAGCACCGCCGGGAGCAGGCTGGCCCGGGTAGTTAGGCACGAACGTGCCCGCCGTCGGGTTAAATGAAAACGCAGCTGCGTTCACGTTGAGCGCTCCGCCGGCAGCGCCAGGCGGCGCGTTGTAATATCCGCCCGCGCCGCCTGGCGGCGGCGGCTGCTGCTGGCCCGCGATATCCTCCCATGAATCGGGCTCCCCCATTGACTCCGCAGGAGACTACTCGGCGGAGGATCTAAAAACAGAGGTTGGGCGACGAAGCGACACCAAGTCGGCGAAGCTCGCGCGCGAGATGCGACTGCAAGCGACAGATCTCCCCGGATCAGATGTGTCGGTCGCACAGACGGCGGACTCACAGCGCTAAGATTCCGTCCGTGAAACAGCGCTAAGGCATGGAGGATATTGGCAATGGTGGAGCAAGCAAGATGAAGGGGGGAGGGGAAGAAACGGGGACAGGTGAGGGGAGCGAGGGAGGGCGGAGAAAGGGGAAGACGGGGAAACATGGAAATGGAAATGAAGGGCCTTGAAGGGATGAAGAGGGGCGGGATGGGTTTAAAAGCGATAAAGTTAGGCGCAAGTGGGTGACGTGGGCTGAGAAGGTACAGAAGGTGTTTGTAAGAAGCGCGGGCGCGGTGGGCCTGACACAATCGAGGGGTCTGCTTGGGGGATCTAGCTGGATTCCTCGATGGTTGGCCGTGTTTCGGAATTGCTGTTGATGTCAACATGAAAATACACCACACTATTTTCTCATAATCCGATCGTGTTACACTCCTTACCGAGGCTCAGCTTAACAAGGATATTGGGGCTCGCTTTGATGCAAACCTGGAGCAATGTCTTCTTTTCTCGAGATTCACGCCTCAACAGACTCACCGATTTAGCTTGAATCCGCAATAACCGCTCTTGCTTTTCGTTCCACTATGGCTTCAGCTGCGACGCAGCGCGCTACACCTTACAGCGCAACCGGCGACGGCAACCGGCAGTCACAGGCGATAGAAATAGACGGCCAGCAGTCGCAAAACGCCTTTCCGACGTCGCACGAGCAGCAATCGCAGCAACAGGCGCGGCGGCAGTTCAAGGGGAGGAAGCGGACGTGGGTGGAAAACGCGATCTACCTGCTGCTAGGCTGCGTGGTTCTGTACCTCGGCGATGGCTCCGTGCACTTTCTAGACGTCCTCTTCCGCGACCCGCGCATCCGATGGTCAGTCTCTATCACGCGTCCAGTTATCAGTCGCCCGTTATTGCCAGTCATGCGTTCGATGCTCAGCCATAGATATTCGATGCTCAAAAGGCATCGTGTGGTCAATACCCGTTTACCTGATCGACCGCGGATCAGATAGTCAGCCTCTCAATACCAATCGCTCCATAGCGGTTGCCATGTCGTCACTTCTTCGTGGCGTCTCGTCCTCTCATTTCTATTCGCGTTTCATCCTCCTCCCTTCTGAACCTTTCCCATCCTTGCCACCTCACTGAACCTGAATCACCCCTTGCTTGTCTCACATTCCCCCGCTCCTCGGCAGACAGGCGGCCGCTCCAGGCGGCAGCGGCGTGCGCGGCGGTGAACATCGGCATCTACCTCTACGCCGCGGTCTTCCTGCGCCTCTTCCGCCGCGACACGCGCTCCTACCACCAGTCCGCGCCAGGCGCCGTGGCTGCGGCCACGGCTGTGGGACTCGCGGCTTACATTCTGTAAGTGCTCTACTTTGCTGCGTCCCAAGTTTTTGAATCTCAGAGACTGATTCTGGAGAGCCTTCCAAGTCGTGTTGGTGGTGAGGGCTCATGGGATGAGCATGGAGGGGGCATGGCATGCAGGGCAGAAGGGCTGTTGCTGGAAGGGGAGAAGATTGATTATGAGAACTCTCACAAGTAGCATGCCAGTTCTCAAGTGTGATTGTTGACAGCAGTGTTTGAGTCTCTTTTGCCTTGTTGCGTTGATCTCACCTTGTCGCATTCCATCTCACCTTGCTGCAGGTGCTGCATTGCCTTCTGGTCCGTCTGGGGCATTCTCACCCTGCCCATTCTTGTAAGCCTGCAATCAGTGCCAATTCTATTCCTTCCACGCCCTCCCCTCCCACTCTGCATGCCTTCTGCTCTGTGCTTCTTGCTGAACCCGTTTGTCAATCCATTGTTACGGTAGGTATTTTTGTCCGGCCCCTTCGCACTCAATCTCCTTCCTTGCTTTCTGCGTACCATTCCGCCACGTCTTTTTCTCTGCTGGGCCTTCTGCATCGAGCAAATTCCACTTGGTGCTTTCCCTGGTGCTCTGGTGTTTTCCCCGTTGTCGGTGGTTCCTGATACAGTGGGTACTATTCATGGTTTTTGCCATCATTACGTCATACCTGCCGCCATTCAAAGTGCGCCAAGACTGATAGAAAACTCAATAAACTGGAACAATGTTGTGTTTTTGTTCTTCATATATCCGTGTATGTTCCAAAGGGAACAATTGCAAGCCAATTACCTCTGCAGAGCTTGTTTACTGGCATCCGGCTGTCCCAGAAACCATGCCTAGATCCACTCACTACCAGACTGGTTTATGCACCAACTACCCCTCATATTGCTCAGACTCCAGACACAAGCACCAAACGTACTGCTATGGTGTAGCTGAATATGGATGCATACATATTCATAAGTAATTGTAATTTGAACCACTTGGTTCTAGGAAGTGCGGTTTTTTTTTTCATGAGCTGTTAACCATATACAAAATTAGTAGATCAATCTGGGTGTGTGTGTAGTTCAATTATTGTATCAGAACGATATATTATATCAGAAACGAGACGCGCGCTGTTGGGTGTTCCAGCTGCCACGTTATACGATTCCGTCTCTCTCTGATTGGTGTGAGTCAGAAATGCCTTCATCAGGCAGGTCCACCTCTCTGCGCTGGGGTCAGTGGTAACAGAGGAGTTACCAACAAGGTCGTCTGCAGCGAGCGGGCAGCCAGTCTTGATTTTCGCTACCACGAAATCCCACCCATAACCCTAACTCGTTATCTCGCCAACCAGCCCCATATTCTTCCGATTCCAGAGAGAGCAGGCAAGGGAACCAATTCCGATCACAACGGCTAGGGTTCGGTGTCCTCTCATTGGCCAACACTGGCAGTTCGAAAAGGTGCAAAGCGCGCGAAAGATTACGAAGTGACGGATCCGCTGAAAATATCTGGAAATCGACGATCGAGATTCACAACGTTCAGGTTCCCTCTTCAAGTCGTTTGTTCCCGATTGCCTCAACGGACGTTTTTCGGGACACGTCGGACAGTTTCTGTTTCGTTGCAGCCGCTTTGTCGGCGATGGGGACACGTGAAGAATCTGGCAGACCGACGATTCTTTCTCTCCTGAACCACACACAAGCGACACGCTGGAACTTTAGAGCTACGGTTAGGATCGAAGTGAGACCCACCCAATGTAAGACGATCAATCTAGAACCGTCAGATCTCGTTCGTGGGAACTTCAGGCATTCCGAGATGGAAGGGAGTGACTCAATCCCAGCCCCCTCCCCGCATTCTGCCATTTCTCAGCCGATTTTCACTCGATTTCTGTCCAACCAGGCTCGTTCTGCTCGTCTTCAATCTAGCTCTTCGTCAACTGAGTTTCTTCTACAGCGTTCTGCTAGCGAAGCTATTCCATTTTGAAGTTTCGCTCGTCTCCACTCTCTCCGCTCGTGAAGACCATCTTCGAAATTGGGATGATCGCAAATCCACGCGATTCACCAACCCGTCGTCAATCTGCAGCACACCTATTTTCCGGTGAGAAATTCGTTTGTCTGTCGCGGATTCGTCATGCGAACTGAATTTTGGTATTCATTTGTTCCCCTTCTCAGCCTTATCTGACCAACTTCTTCCTTGTTGTGCAGGTTTTCTTGGCGTTCGTCCTCGATTTGACTTCGACAGTCAACAGGCCTCCTCAACTGCTCTCACATATTCACCAGGCTGCGACCAAGTCGTCGCCATCTTGCCATCCGACGAATTTCGGTAAGCGTTTCGCCTATTTCGTTTTCCACCAGTTTCAGTCCGTTAGTCATGTTACTTTGGGAATACCGTTGTAGATCTTGCAGCCAAATCCTTTCCAACGTGCATTATTTCCATTTGTTTTTGTGATGTTTGACACCACCATTCCGTGCTTCATTAACGTCGTGATTGATTGTCATTTCGCTGTCTGCTCGCATTTCAATGTGCAGTGCGGACTGCAACAGTGATGGCAGGTGGTGCTGAGCGAACCGTTCGTGGCAGCAGCAGTGGCAGCACCGGTGGCCTCTGCATCCGCTCTGGCAGCACGGTCGAACGGGAGGGGTCTGTGCTTGATCGTCAAAGGAGTGTCTTCTACTCCTGCACCTTCCACATTCCATAGCGCTTCATACCATGCACCCCCTCGCATCTCATGCATTTTCAAATCCAACCGTTGCTAGCAGCGCAGTGCACAGGGCACAGACCAGCCCCCACAGCCCTCAGGTGAAACCCCCTTTTTCCAGGTAAAGCCTACAGGCCCCAGGTTAGACCCCCTTTTTCGTTCCCAGGTTAACCCCCTTTTCCCGTATGGTCTGTGCCCTGTGCTCGCTGCTGCTGCAGCAGCAGCTCCATACCCACAAGCCAGCGCACACGCCATCCATACCGCCTCATTCCCCTCATTTCCCCTTCATCTTCTCATCACTGATGGTGGTCAGACTTCTGCTTCTTGTATCGTTTCCATCTGTCCGCTCACCCAGCGCGCTGTGCCCACCACCACTTATCTCCTCGTCTCTATGTGTCTTTTCCCTTCCCTCCCTTCCCCCCTACTCTCCCCCCCCCCTTCCCTACTTCCCAGGGATTGACGCTGAGGCAGGGCGGCCAGCAGTGGGAACATCGGCATGGAGCAGCGAGTGCCACACCTGCCTCGAATCATCTCTGCAGCAACCTCGTCCGAAGCTAAGTGCTCTTCCCTCTAGGTTCTCACTCCTCCCGTCTGTTCAGCTCTGTCTCGCATTCTAATGCGCCGCGCCCACCGCTGCTCTTGCTGCAAGGGGACACGCCCAGGGAGTCAACCACCTCCCCAGGTAAGAGATGGCAGGTTCAGCCTAAGGTAGCAGGTGCAGGTCCCTCAGGTACTCACAGCTCCAGGTGTGGTACCACGTGGTAGGCACCCTCGGTCGTGTCCCCCTTGCAGCAGAGCTTTCACCATCCACCATCGTCTTCCCTGGTCGAATGCATCTTGCTTCCTCGCACCTTGCTTCCCTGTACTCACTTCGTCCGTATCTGCCCTCCCCCTCCCTCCCTGCAGGTCACTTGGCAGGACGGGGAGGGAAGGGATGGGGGTCTGAGGCAGCGGGAGAAGCGGACAGGCAGTGGCGGGGGACATGGAGTGCACAGGCAGCAGCTGCTTTCCACCCAACCCACCCACAGCTAAGCTAAGTACCCCGCCCTGCCTCTCTCCTCCCAACCCTCGTACTTGTGTTGCTTTTCATGTCTCGCTTGCGTCATGCATCAATCTCACTTCCTCACTGCCCTCTGTCACAGTCAAGGGACCTCCCTCCCCCAAGGTAGCAAGGTAGCAGGTACAGGCTCAGGTATTCGGTATAGTCAGGTTCAGCTGGTATGAGGTCTCTTGGGTGTGCACACTGCAGCAGTCCATTTCATGCACGCATGATTCTTGCAATCTCTTCTCTCGTCTCTCACGCTTCACTCACTTTGCTTTTCTTCTTGCCTCACTGCCCTCCCCACTCCTCTGCTTCCCCTCCTCCCCTCCCCCTCCTCCCTTCTCTCTGTCCTAATCTTCCTCCTCTCGTCCCAGCAGGTCGCTCACACGGGAGTGGCAGTGGCGGGGGACATGGAGTGCAAAGGCAGCAGCTGCTCTCCACCCAACCCACCCACAGCTAAGCTAAGTACCCCGCCCTGCCTTTCCCCTCCCAACCCTCGTACTTGTGTTGCTTTTCATGTCTGGCTTGCATCATGCAGCAAACTCCCTCTCTCACTGCCCTCTGTCACACTCAAGAGACCTCCTTCCCCCAAGGTAGCCAGGTAGCAGGTACAGGCTCAGGTATTCGGTTTAGTCAGGTTCAGCTGGTATGAGGTCTCCTGGGTGTGCCACTGCAGCAGTCCATTTTAAGCACGCATGATTTTTGCAATCTCTTCTCTCTTCTCTCTTCTCTCTTGCTTCACTCACTATGCTTTTCTTCTAACCTCACTGCCCTCCCTACTCCTCTGCTTCCCCCTCCTCTCCTCACCCTCCTCCTTTCTCTTTGTCCTAATCTTCCTCCTCTCGTCCCAGCAGGTCGCTCACACGGGAGTGGCAGTGGCGGGGGACATGGAGTGCAAAGGCAGCAGCTGCTCTCCACCCAACCCACCCACAGCTAAGCTAAGTACCCCGCCCTGCCTTTCCCCTCCCAACCCTCGTACTTGTGTTGCTTTTCATGTCTGGCTTGCATCATGCATCAAACTCCCTCCCTCACTGCCCTCTGTTACACTCAAGGGACCTCCCTCCCCCAAGGTAGCAAGGTAGCAGGTACAGGCTCAGGTATTCGGTTTAGTCAGGTTCAGCTGGTATGAGGTCTCTTGGATGTGCCACTGCAGCAGTCCATTTCATTCACGCTTCTTGCAATCTGTTCTTTCTTCTCTCTCGCTTCACTCACTTTGCAATGCTGCTTACCTCACTGCCCTCCCCACTCCTCTGCTTCCCCCCCTCTCCTCCCCCTCCTTCCTTCTCTCTGTCCTAATCTTCCCCTCTTCCCTCTCTCGCCCTGCCTGTGTGACTCGCACTTGTCAACTCTGCTGGATGTCAAGACTGCCCACTGACCACATCTGCGTGTGTGCCTTGCAGGTGGAGGGGAGGGGCGTGGGGGTCAACACTGCCGCTGCCCACGCCCCTCCCCTGTGGCCCACGCCCCTCCCCTGTGGTTCTCGTGGGGATGGGAGGGAGGCAGCACTGTCAGTCGCTGCCACAAGGGAGAGTATCGGGGATGGGCTTGGCCTCTCAAGGTACATCACTTCCCCTATTGCCGTCATCCTTCTCCCTAGTTCTCCTTTCTTAGTTCCGCCTTCTGGTTTTTCCGAATTTGGTTTTCCTGTTTTCCTGCTCAAGCCATTCAGTTTCCCTGATTCTGTTTTCCTGTTTTCCTGCGCAAGCCAGCTCACTAACTTCTACTCCCCCCCCATTCTTGTGCCCCTACCAGGTGACTTGGCATCGAGTGAAGACTGTAGCAGAGGAAGCTGAGTAGCAGACCGGCAGCAGCAGAAGCGGCAGCAGCAGCAGCAGCAGCAGTGGGGGGTGGGGGGCTAGAGGGCAGGCTAGGTTAGGTCGAGTCGTGAGCGAGGTGTGTGGTATGATATCAGGAGAGGTATGGTACCAGGTGAGGTACCTGATTCCCTCCTCCCTCTTTCTCTCCCCCCCCCACTCCTTCTCGCAGCCTGAGGGAGGGAGCACTGCAGCAAGGGCAGGACAGAGGCATCACTCCTTTCATTCCCCCCTCCCCCTCCCCGCTCCCCACGTCCCAGCAGCAAGGGAGGGAGGGAGCACTGCAGCAAGGGCGGGACAGAGGCACCTCTCCTTTTACCAACCCCTCCCCCTTCCCCCCTCCCCCTCCCCCACCCCTGCCCCTCCCCACTTCTGGCACGGCTGAGGCATCATGGCGCTCTGCATGGTAGGTACAGGTAAGGAGGCATGGGGTGAAGGGGGGAGGAGGGGAGGAGAGGGGGGGTGGGGGGGGAGGAAGCATGGGAGCAAGTGGGCAGTTCACTCCCTTAGGGGCAGCATCCTCTGGGGTTGTGGCTTGTGGGTCGGGGTGTGGTGGGTGGAATCTGTGCGGCACGGCACTCGGAGCTCAAGTAACCGATCTGACGTGCAAGGCCTAATGGACACCGTCAGAGCTGACCGGCCGGCGGCTCTGGTTCGCGTCAGCTCTGGCTACGTCAGGGGTGGGATTTGAGTCTTGGGCTGGAAGCAATTTTCCACTGCCACACTTCGCACCACAAGGCACAGCCACTGTGGTTGCTGTTTCCGAAAGGGCTTGGGCTGTCTGCTGCTCCTACTGCTGGCAGGTAAGTTTTGGAGGGGCTGGATGGGTTGGGTGGTGATGGTGGTGAGAGGCAGTGGGGTTGGCGGTTGCACATGATGAGCCGTATGGCACTGATGCCACCTGTTGCATGAGAGCATGATGCTCATGCGTGCAAGTGAAAGGGGCTGAGTCCCCTTGGGTGGGTGAGTGCAAGTGAAAGGGGCTGAGTCCCCTTGGGTGGGTGAGTGCAAGTGAAAGGGGCTGAGTCCCCTTGGGTGGGTGAGTGCAAGTGACAGGGGTTGAGTCCCCTTGGGTGGGTGATGCAAGTGAAAGGGGCTGAGTCCCCTTGGGTGGGTGAGTGCAAGTGAAAGGGGCTGAGTCCCCTTGGGTGGGTGAGTGCAAGTGAAAGGGGCTGAGTCCCCTTGGGTGGGTGAGTGCAAGTGAAAGGGGCTGAGTCCCCTTGGGTGGGTGAGTGCAAGTGAAAGGGGCTGAGTCCCCTTGGGTGGGTGAGTACAAGTGAAAGGGGCTGAGTCCCCTTGGGTGGGTGAGTGCAAGTGAAAGGGGCTGAGTCCCCTTGGGTGGGTGAGTGCAAGTGAAAGGGGCTGAGTCCCCTTGGGTGGGTGAGTGCAAGTGAAAGGGGTTGAGTCCCCTTGGGTGGGTGATGCAAGTGAAAGGGGCTGAGTCCCCTTGGGTGGGTGAGTGCAAGTGAAAGGGGCTGAGTCCCCTTGGGTGGGTGAGTGCAAGTGAAAGGGGCTGAGTCCCCTTGGGTGGGTGAGTGCAAGTGAAAGGGGCTGAGTCCCCTTGGGTGGGTGAGTGCAAGTGAAAGGGGCTGAGTCCCCTTGGGTGGGTGAGTGCAAGTGAAAGGGGCTGAGTCCCCTTGGGTGGGTGAGTGCAAGTGAAAAGGGCTGAGTCCCCTTGGGTGGGTGAGCATGATGCTCATGCTTGGTTGGTGGCACATGATGAGCCGTATGGCACTGATGCCACCTGTTGCATGAGAGTTTCTGGTGGTGAGTCCTCTATGGTAGGTGAGTAGGAGAGTGGGATGGGGGCTGATTCACCCAAGGTGGGTGAAGGGCGAGAGGGATGGGGGCTGAAACCCCTTAGCTGGGTCAGTGGGCGAGAGGGATGGGGGCTGAGTCTCCCATGGTGGTTGAGTGAAAGATTGAAATGGGGGCTGAATCCCCTAAAGTGGGTGAGTGGTTCGGAGTGATGGGGCTGAACCAAAGGCGGATGAGAGGGAGAGAGGGATGAGGGCGGAATTCCGTAAAGTGGGTTAGTGTGAGAGAGGAATGGGGGCTGAACCCCCTTAGGTGGGTGTGTGGGAAAGTGGAATGGGTCTTAAACCCTCCAAGGTGGGTGAGTGGGAGAGTGGGAGAGAAGAATGGGAACTGAATCCCTCAAGGTGGGTTTGTTTGGTTGGGATGGGGCAGAGTGGGTTTGGTACTGTAGGGTAGGATGAGGCAGGCTGTGATGGGTGGGGTTGGGTGGGATGAGGCAGAACTGGTTGGGTTGGGTAGAGTGGGGTGATGCAGGGTGAATTATGTAGGGTAGGTTGGGATGAGGTAGAGTGGGTTGGGTAGAGTAGGGTGGGGTGAGGCTGGGTGGGTTTGTTAGGTATAGTGCGATGAGGCAGAGTGTGTTGGGTCGGTAAAGGTTTGTGAACGGATGAGGCAGGGTATGTTATGTAGGCTTGTCAAAGGATGCTTTGGATGCGGAAATACGGTAGTTGTCGAGACAGTGAAGGTTGGGTATGGTTGGGTCTGATGAGATGAGATGAGATGAGATGAGACCCCAGGGAGTGTGGTACGAGGCAGAATGCATTAAATACAGGGATGTGCGTGGAAGAGTCTGCTCTGCTGCCTTGGCAACATGTGCATTCCTGAAAGTCTGCATTTACGAGTGACGGTACTCTATGGAATGGGAGCGAAGAGTAGCTATTGGTGTGTAGCATGTTGTCCTGAACTTATTACGGTATGTGTATGTCGACAATGTTATTGCAGCTTGCATTTACCATCATGTGCTTCCTGAAATATGCCACAATGATATAAGTTGTGATTGTGGAAGAGCAGTTCAATCTTTTTTGTTGCCTATCCCGTGGTCTGACTCGATCATTTGTATTGTGCTTTGAATTCATTCGAGTTGTGATCTATCATAGCGGGTATGTCCGACCGCATCACCCACTTTCCCACGTCGGTTTGCCAGTGTGTCAGGTTTGCCTCGGCATTGCCGTACCATACGCATCTCTCACTCACCACCACCATAACCCTCCGAGCCGACGTCTAGGTTCGGGTATCAAAATTTTGATGGCTTGGCAGGCAGGTGGCATTGAGCCTGGGTGTGAACATCCGAGCCTCGAGATTTCTGCAGTCCCTTCAAGCTCTCAAAAGTGTTGAATACAATAGCGCGTATCTCACGGATTATATTTTCACAGCTAGTTGTCAGGTCAGTCAGAACTGTTTACCATTGCGGTGCGCTGTTCTATTTGCCATTCCTCGCGCTGTAGTCCCTCTCAGCAAGCAGCGTGTCCTACGGCGTTAGAACCAGCCGTACGGCCACCGTTACGACCATCGTCAGTAGCAGCCCTAGGAGCATAATTCGATATCCGTCCGCTCCGCACCCGTAAGAACTTGTACCTTCCGCAAATGGCATCTCGACGTGAGCAGGAGGCAGCAGCGGCTGTCCTCGCACAAGCAGAGTCGTTATTAGTACAATCCCTCGCAGACAACGCGCTCTCGCTGCTCGTGAAGCTCGAGCGGGCGACACCTGGCGCCAAGGGATTGGCTGAGCTGCTCGCAGTGGCTCAGGTTCTCGCGGCTGTCGGCCACACGCCCGAGTGTCCAAGGTGTCGCCGTCCCATTGGTCCTCTTCCCAAGGACTACGTGGATTGGTTCGGCGTGCTCCAGGTATGCGCGTTCGCTCGTCAGTTACGATCGTCGATTTCGCTCGTCGATTTCGCTCGTCGATTTCGCTCGTCAGTCACGATAATCAATTTCGCTCGTCGGTTACGTTCGTCGAAGCACGCCATCAGGCTCGGGATGATGAGCGCACGAGGGTGTTTAAGAGCACTGCTCGTGTTCCGAGACGTCTCAAGAACAACGCTTGCTTACCTCCCTGGCATGGTCGTTGCTCACTCTTTCCGTCCCTCAAGTGGACGCAATTTTCTAGACAATGAAAAATAAAGACCAGGCTTTGCGTTGCATTTCTAACCTGAACCTTCCTGAACCACTCTAACATGGCCGCTGCGCGCTCTTTCTGTCCGACAGGTGGATGCGCGGACGGACGAAGGCGGAATCAAGAAGCGGTACCGACAGCTAGGTGCGTTTCCCGCAGCCCACTCACACTGCTCGCACGTTGGGCCGCACTGTGACTGCTTTTCAGGGTCTGTGAGTTGAGCTGAGGCCCAGACAGACCGTCACGGGGACCGGTCTACAACCGTAGATTCGTAAAGTAAATTGTAATTGCTCTGAGAAAGTCTGACTGGTCTGGTCCTCTTTTCTTTCCCCCCTCTCAGCGCTCCTGCTGCATCCGGATAAAAACAAGTCACAGAAGGCCGAAGCAGCGTTCCGTTACGTCAAGGAGGTGAGTCTTATAACGAGACACTCTTAACGAGACTCTTATAGCGAAACTCTCATATCGTGACTCTCACTGCATTGCCTCTACGGCCACCAACTCCTCGCATTTCTCTCCCGCTTCATCTCCTCCTCATCCTACCCTGTCCCTCCACCTACCCTGTCCCTCCACCTACCCTGTCCCTCCACCTACCCTGTCCCTCCACCTACCCTGTCCCTCTTAAGCTGCTTCTGCGCACCCACTCATCCACCTCCCCTGCTGTTGTCTCGCCATCCACCCCTTCCCCCTCCCCCATCCCAGGCGCACACAGCACTGGCAGACAACAACAAACGAGCTGTATTCCACCCCACAACCCCCCATCTCCCCCTTCCCGTTCCCTTCACCCCCATCCCCTCCCCCTCCCGCGGCTCTCCCCCATCTCCCCCCCCCAGGCGCACACAATACTGACAGACAGCAACAAGCGAGCCGTGTTTGATTCCCTACGCACCCGCCTCCCTCCCTGCCCCTGCTCTGCACCCGCGGGAGGTAGAACCATGGGGGTGCAGAGGGGTGCAGGGGGGTTCAGAGCGTCTCAGGGGTACGCCTCGTACCTGTCGCCCACGGGTAGTTTCCGTAATGTACCCAATCGGAGCAGTAGCTACTCGTCTTTTGCCCGGAATACCGTGGCGGGAACTTCCCCGATGCACTCTTTTTCAGCTGCCCGGGGCAGTGGGGGGCAGCAGCAGTATCAGCAGCAGCAACAGCAACATCAGTACCATCAGCAACAGCAAGGGGGGCGTGGCAGTGCGCCGAACCTTCACCAGCAGGCTGCTTCAGGGTATGTGTCATGTGTCTGGCTGGATGAATGGGCTTCAACCTTTATTCGGTTGAAACTGTGTGTTCTGGTTGGGGGTGAATTAGGGTTTGGACGGATGCGGTTGCTGCCTTTAACTTGGTTGCTGGGAAAAGAAGGGGGAGGGGAAGGGGAGAGAGCGGAGGAAAAGACTCATGACTTCTTCGCCCCGCCCTAGTCTCTCCCCCTCGTTCCTTCCCCCCCCACACTTGCTGTCACCCCTCCTCTCAGGGCGAGTTGGGCGGGCAACGAGGCGGGGCGGCTGCAGGAGCTGCGGGAGCAAGCCAAGGCGCGCGTGGTGTCGTTGGAGAGAGAGTGGGAGGAGAAGAAGGAGCAGTGGCTTCGCGACTTTGAACAGGCTAAGGTGCAGCAGCAGGCGCAGCAGCAGGAGCAACAGGAGCAGGCGGAGGAGCAGGAGCGGGAGGATCAGGAGGAGCGTCAGCAAGCGCAGCAGCAAGAGCAGGGGGCGCAGCAGGAGCAAGAGCAGCAGGCGGAAAGGGGGGTGGATGGGGAGAGAGAGCAAGAGGGGGAGGAAGGGACGAATGCAGCGAAGGGAAAGCGTGTGGATGAAGAGAGTGAGGAGGGTGTGAGTGAGGGGAGTGCAAGTGAGAGGGGTATGAGTGGGGAGGGTGCGAATGAAGGAGGTGTGAGTAATGCTGCAGCTGCCCCAGCCTTGCAGCGTGCCACATGTGGGGAGCCATCCCGTGGCCAGACAGGGTCCTCTGAGGAGAATCCGGAACCTGTAGGTGACTCGATATGGGAACAGCTGGCAGATCTCGTGGATGATGCTGACGTGGAAGGTGCTGACGTGGAAAGCGAGGGCAAAGACAGGAGGGTTGGCAGCAGTTGGAGTGGCAGCAGTGGAGAACAGGAGGACAGGACGGAGCAAGCAGAGGAACGGAACGAGGGGAGGGAGAAACGGGCAGAGAAACGGGCAGAGGAGCGGGCAGAGGAGCAGGGCAACGAAGCAGTGGAGGTCAACCTCTCCTCTCCAGACGTGCATGGCCATGAAACGCATGGAAAACGGGTGGTAAGGAAGGGTGACTGGGAGGGAGTACCCGTGCATGCCGATGCTGGGTCCACCAAAGGGGACCTGCCCACTTCCTTCCGCGCCACCACAACAGGCAGAGCTGCTGCTGACGCGATGGCAGCCGCTGCTGCTGCCACGGAAGCTGCCCGAAAGGTTCTCGAGCGGTCCCGGTCAGTTATGAGGAAGGGATCCGTGCGGCCTGAGGGAGACCGTGGCCGAGCGGAGGGAGCAGGCGAGACGGGCGGCACAGGTGAGGCGGGTGGCACAGGTGAGGCGGGTGGCACAGGTGAGGCGGGTGGCACAGGTGAGGCGGGTGGCACAGGTGAGGCGGGTGGCACAGGTGAGGTGGGCGGCACAGGTGAGGTGGGCGGCACAGGTGAGGTGGGCGGCACAGGTGAGGTGGGCGGCACAGGTGAGGTGGGCGGCACAGGTGCGGCGGGTGGCGCAGGAGAAGCGGGCGGTGCAGGCGAGAAGGCTAGTGACGGTGAGGTTGACAGAGTGGCTGCAAGCTCAGTGCCTTGCAGTGCTGAGTGCTCTGGTGTTACGACGGGTTCTTCTGTAGCTCAACCATCCAATGAGGAAAGAGGGCCTGCTGCTGATGCTCCTCACTGTGGAGAGGGTTCGAGCCCTGCAGGTGAAGAGACGACTGCACCAGATGCAGCAACAGCAGCAGCAGCAGCAGCAGCAGTGTGCGTGGGCCGTGAAGCAGACACAGTGGATGGCGGTGAGCCACGAGAAGCTGAATCGGTGAGCCAAGAGAGGGGCTCCGATCGCCCCATGCCTGCAAGCTCAGGTGTTACCAGTGGTGGTAGCAGTGATGGTGGGCATTCCTCCTGCAGCAATCCAGTCACCCCCGTGCCTGTGCCTTCATCGAACCACCTCTCTTCCCTCACTGCTTCTGCAAGTGCCCCGGCCTCTTCAGACAGTTGTTCAGCCTCTGGGGTAGCCTCAGTGAGATGCAGTACAGGTGCAGACACCCCGATCAGCAGCGCGAGCAGCAGTAGAGCGAGCAGCAGCAGAATTCCTAGTAACAGCAGCGTGAATAGCACTTGGGTTGCACCTTGTAGCAGTGTCGACAGGAGCAGTAGTGGCAGCAATGGGGGCAGCAAGGAGGGCAAGGAGAGCAGTGGGGACGTGTTGGAAACTCTGCACAGGCTGAGGCGCGACACACAGGCTGTTGCCGCCTCACTGGATAACCTCAGGCGCAGACTCTCTGCCCGCCCTGCTGCCGTCTTCCCTGCCTCTGTAACAGGGTCTGTGCCGGGAGTAACTGGGTCGCCGCCAGTGCAAGTTCCTGCGTCCTAGGTGGTGTACTGAGGGGTGAGGCGAGCTTTGTGGTTGGATATTGGTGCGTTGCCTGGCTGGTTTGGTAGAGAGTTTTGGCAAGTGCCAGATTTATCCACTCGGTTAAATTGCCGATCTGACGAAGTTTTCTGCTACCAGTTACATAGGGAGCTTCTTTAACAGTTAAGCAGCACATATGAATAGCGTGTTCATTCTTTCTTTATTCTCACAGCAAGGTGCATAATGAAGATACGTATTTATGACAAAGTTCTTACCGGTAACATTAACTTGGGACATGAGGTGAGCACCCAGCATGGAATTCTTATACAGGTTGAGCGAACTATATAGCTTTGCAAGAACAGTTAAATATGCTTCTAGAAGAAGAGATGTCCCGTAACGGAGTGGATTCTGTAGAGGGAAGATCTCTGTGATTGAGGCGGGATTCAATTTCACATTTCCTGTGGCAGAATCTGTGACAGCGAAAACCAGCCAAGATCGCCTGGGCGGACGGGTCTAAGTTCGAGGGCTGGTGGGCAGTGCCAGTGGGGACAGAATCACATGCTTTCTGCCTGGCAGAATCTGATTGTTCAAGGTGGAAAGTTCTCCACCGCCTGAGGACCTGTTGCGTGGCGTCGGGTTGCGTTGTGTTGCGTTGCGTCTGGAACCATTTTCCCTGTGTCAGCCTCCAGAGCTCATTCTGGTGGGCAGAACCCTCATCGGTTACCGAGTGACGAAATGTGTGATCTGAATCGTTCGTTTTCCTCTGGTTTCCCTGTGGGACTGATTGGCCCACTAAGCTTTCGCTTGGTTTCGCACAGTAACCTGAAATCCACACTGAACTGTACCATCCCACTTTTCAAAACGTTTACGAAAAGGAACACCCTGGCCCCGCGCTGTCTTGCTGCACAGAAAGATATTCTGGTATGTTGGTGAGTGGTTTTTCTACATTTTCTGCTCTCCTTTCACGAGATTGCACGCCATGGCCAGGTTGTAGTTGATCTAAAGCTCATTTCCAGATTGCATCTGACGCTAGACGCCGCTGGCAGCAATGGCGTGGCGCCTTTTCAAACCAGGTCCCTTGCCGCGCTGTCATACCAACGATCACACGCTACGCTACTGTGCGGATTCGGTAGGCGATAAAGTCAGAGAATGGCGGTCCTTAGTTGGTCAGCAAGGGACCATCTGCGATTGGTGCGATCAAACAGCTCGGTTTGCGCGATCGGCAGTTGCACGGTTCAGAGATCCCAGCGATACCTTCCGTCCTTCTTATTCAAAAGCAGGTTCCACAGCATTTTCTAGCCACTACAATCCTCCGTCCCTCTGTCTTTAAATCCTTACTCGCTTTTCCGTTCGTCCCGTCACGGCTTCAATCCACCTCATACTGACCGTCCGATGATGGCGTGCCACGCTCCGAATCCAACGGCTCTCTCTCCACGGCTGCGCGAGTGGGCGGAGGAGCGACATCTCGCCGTCGCCATCCCGTCTCCGCCGGACTGCATCTCCGATTTCCCCGAGGAGCATCGCTCCTCGCCGTCGCTGCAGGAGCAGCGCCGCCTGCTGCTCGGCTCTCGCTGCGGCACTCCGCGTTTCCTCTTCCGCCACGCTTCCGCCGCTTCCTCCAGTTCTTCCCCGCGCCCGTCCGCCGCCGTCCGTTCCGCCACGTGCCAACCCGCGGCCTCAGCGCCAGTCGATCACGTCCCAGCAGCCGAACGGTCGTATACGTCTCCCTCCGAATTCTGCGCTCGCAGCGGGGAAAGTCACTCCCCTAGCAGCAGTCCCTCTTCGCGCGAAACGACCGCGCGTTCGCAATCCTGTCTCGACGTCGCGGCGCCATCTCCCTCCGTGAAGTTTCCCAGAAGTTGCTCCGATTCCGGCACCGGCCACTTGATGAAGCTGGCGCGATGCGATCTTCTCGGCTCGCGCTGCGGCACACCGAGGCGCGCTGCCGGCGCGGATCCGCGGGCTTTCCACCGCCGCGCGCGCAGCGTGACGTGGGACCTCCCGCGGGACGAAATCCCCTTCTCGCACTCCAACCCCGTCCCCTCCCGCGGGTGTCTCCGCCTTCTGCGCGCGGACTTGCTGGGGTCGAAATGCGGAACGCCCAAGTTCCGCGCCCCTGCGGAGCCAGAAGCCATCTGGAGCGTGTAAGATGGTCAGCCGGCAGCCTAACCGGTAGCCTGGGGACACAAACCCGTTTATTCCGTCGGATCTGACGGCGTCTGCCTGAATAATATGCAGGGTTCAGCCCTGTAGTCTCCTGACTGGGATTGAATCTCTCCAGATTGTGTTCATTTTTTGTCATGGCTGGATCTGTGTCCATGATGTACGGTACCCCTAGCTAAAAGCTAGTGAATTCGTGTGTTTCAATATTGTGAAAGATTGGTGTTGATGTGCTTTCCTCCCTCTGCCACTGAACTTATTTGACATACTGTACAAACATAAGCCTTATCTAATCAATAATCAGCCCATTAACGATACACACACAGATCTCTCTCAGCTGCCAACCTTGAAAGCATCCACAAACAGGCCCAGTATGATTCCCGCCTTCCAGAAATTCACCAGCGCCACAGCATCCACCAATGCACCCTCCCCCTTCTCCACCCCCCCATCACCCTCCTTTTCTCCACCCGAACCTGTCACCCCAGCCGCTACCCCCTCTCCTGCTCCCACTCTAACCCCACCCCCTCCTCTTCCTGCTGCTGCTGTGCTCTTGGCTGCGAGTTTCGCGGCGTCGGCGGCAGCAGCGGAGGCGGCGCGCAGGCGGAGGCGGTAGAGGCATGCGCCGAGGAGCTCAAGGGAGGCGACGAGGGAGCCGGCAACGAGCACGTCCCAGTCGCCCGTCTGCCCCACGATGGTTGAAAGTGCGTTGGCTGAAAAGAACCCTGCCAGCAGCACCAGCACCTTCACAAACACCCGCCGCCTCACGCTGCGCCAGCGACGCTGTGAAAAGGGGAGTGGGGAGTGGGAGTGGGGTAAGGTTTGCGAAAGGGGCGAGTGGTGGGTTGAGGCAAATGGGTGAACTCGGAGGGGGTAGAGGTTAGGAGGAAGCTAGCCAGCAGCACCAGCACCTTCACAAACACCCGCGGCCTCACGTTCCGCCAGCGACGCTGCGAGAGAGGGAGGGTGGGGAGAGGGGAGTGGGAGAAGGAGTTGTGGTTGTGGGGAAGGGATGAGATGCAGGGAATGACAAAGCCTGTCAGCAGCAGCAGAGACTTTAGAAAACCCCGCTGCCGCCACAGATGGGATAGAAGGGCGAGCTCGGGGAGGGGATGGTAAAGCTTGGAGACACACCCACGAACAACACGAGCACCAGGAGAAAAATGGAGAATCTGGCCCTGCGGGTGGGGTACGGAGAGTGGGAAATGGGGAAGGGATGTTCTGCATTGCGCTGAGTGGAATCACGCCTCTCTTCCTCTCCGTCTCATTACAAGCGCACCTTGATAAAATCTACGGCTGCTTGTACGAGCGATCTTAAATTAGAGCCGTCATCCGCTGATGGTCTGCCAGACGACGCAGCAGCTGCAGTGATCACTGCTCGTCTCCCTCTCCTCCGCTCTCTGCCGCCACTGCTGCTCGAAACAGTACCGCTGTAACCAGCAATCTGGTAACCAGTTCCAAGAAACGGTATCCGGCTCGACGCTGTGTTGCTGATGCTGCTTCGAGAGCTGCTCGATGCTCTCTCAAGGCCTCGATTCTGCTTTTGAGTCGACTCAAAAGCTGTGTTGCTGATGCTGCTTCTAAAGCTGCTCGATGCACTCTCAAGGCCTCGATGTGAATCATGCTTCCGTCGCGCACTGAATATCAGGTATGGATCGTCGACGGCATGGCTCCGTGCGGCGCACGCGCGATGCCGATAAGCGTCTGTGCATGTCGTCGCACATGCGAGGGTTGTCGCGTGTGGTCGCTGTGAGGGATCGGCTCGGCATAACGCATCGCGCGCTGCTCCGCTTTCGGATCCTAACCATACAAAACAAGACCGTTGTGACAGAGCCGCACAGCACTGAACTCCTGCGACCCTAACTACCATCGAGTCAGCTAGTAGCTGGAGATTAATTACCACTAGAATTTTTCCCGAAAATGAGGACAGTGAAGAGACATTTTGTCGTTGGAAGGAGATGGTGATACCGAGAAATACCGTACCCGCTTCGCAATGGGTTAGGAACGGTGAAGCTGGAATAACATTTGCAGTGTTCTTCAAATAACCAGTCCAACCACAGAGATACAAACTACTTATCCAAAAAGGTATAAAACCACAATCTACAGAAATCAAATCAGGTTGAGGATGAATGCAATATGGTACAATGTAACAAAAACCATAGGTATCTAAAGTATCAACTTGTAAATAAAATGCTCATGATCTGTTGGTTTCAATGTCGCTGTGAGAAACATCTCCTGAAAATATGAATCTCACCTTAGCACTGAGATCACCAAGGGCTGCACATAAGAGTACCAGCTGTCTTGAATCTGCTGATGCATGGGGAGGTACACAAGCATGCACACGCTGTCATGATTGCACATGCTGCAATAGACGGGCATGCCTGCCATGAAGGGGCACGCACATACACTGCACGGCACGCACATACACTGCACCGCACGCGCATACACTGCACCACACGCACATACACTGCACCACACGCACATACACTGCACCGCACGCGCATACACTGCACCACACGCACATACACTGCACCTCACGCACATACACTGCACCACACGCACATACACTGCACCGCACGCTCATACGCTGCACCGCACACTCATACGCTGCAACACCCGCTCATACGCTGCACCGCCCGCTCATACGCTGCACCGCCCGCTCATACGCTGCACCGCCCGCTCATACGCTGCACCGCCCGCTCATACGCTGCACCGCACGCTCATACGCTGCACCGCACGCTCATACGCTGCACCGCCCGCTCATACGATGCACCGCACGCTCATACGCTGCACCGCACGCTCATACGCTGCACCGCCCGCTCATACGCTGCACCGCACGCACATACAGTGCACTGCTCGCTCACACAGTGAACCGCTCGCACAAACAATGCACTTCTCGCACAAAAACTGCACCGCACGCTCATACACTGCACCACATGCACCTACACTGCACCGCACGCACATACACTGCACCGCACACTCATACGCTGCACCGCACGCTCATACGCTGCACCGCACGCTCATACGCTGCACCGCACACACATACGCTGCACTGCACGCTCATACGCTGCACCACACGCACATACACTGCACTGCACACTCACGCTCATACACTGCACCGCACGCTCATACGCTGCACCGCACGCTCATACGCTGCACCGCACGCTCATATGCTGCACCGCACGCTCATACGCTGCACCGCACACACATACAGTGCACTGCTCGCTCACACAGTGAACCGCTCACACAAAACAATGCACTGCTCACACAAACACTGCACCGCACGCTCATACACTGCACCACATGCACCTACACTGCACCGCACGCATATACACTGCACCGCACGCAAGAGGAATGCACCGCACGCACGTTCACTGCACCACACGCTCATGCACAGCACCGCATCACATACACTGCACCACAAGCTCATGCACTGCACCGCATCACATACACTGCACCACACGCTCATGCACTGCACCGCATCAGCACCACAAGCTTGGCCATGGCTCGGTCAGCGCAGCGCAGTTCTCCTCGCAGCGCAGTTCTCCCCGCAGGCATCTTACCAGAGTGTACCTGCAGTAAGCGCAGTGCTCCTCGCAGCGCAGTGCAATGTCTCCTCCCTCCCGCCTCCCTTGCCCTCCCTCCATCTGTGAATTTGGGAATTTGGGAATTTGGGAATTTGGGAATTTGGAAATTTAGGGGGTTTGCATGCACTCCCTTCAACCTGAGCAAAGTACTGGATCTGGGAGAGAAGGCGCCTAAAGGGAGGGGACGCAAGAAATGAGCCTAGAACGAGGACCGAGACCATAGCACATGACAAACACAGTGCAGGAAACAACTAACACACAAAAAGAGAAACGTCAGTCATGGATATGGAAAGCAAAGAGGATGTGAAGACAAGCGAAGGTGAAACAAGCGGAACAAGTGGAGCGACATGGATGACCGGGAAAAGAAGGGACGAGCAGCAAGCAGGGAGACTTAAGTTACCCTGGCCTGTAGTTCCCCCTCTCGCCTATTCTCAGTCCATGCTGTCGTTGCATTCACAATAATTCCCAGGTGCCATGCCGCTGCTGTAATAGGAGCAGAAGAGAGGAGGACAGCAGAGGAGAGAAGGGCAGCAGAAGAGAGGAGGAAAGCAGAAGAGAGAAGGGCAGCAGAAGAGAGGAGGACAGCAGAGGAGAGAAGGGCAGCAGAAGAGAGGAGAAAAGCAGAAGAGAGAAGGGCAGCAGAAGAGAGGAGGACAGCAGAGGAGAGAAGGGCAGCAGAAGAGAGGAGGAAAGCAGACGAGAGAAGGGCAGCAGAAGAGAGGAGGACAGCAGACGAGAGAAGGGCAGCAGAAGAGAGGAGGAAAGCAGAAGAGAGAAGGGCAGCAGAAGAGAGGATGACAGCAGAGGAGAGAAGGGCAGCAGAAGAGAGGAGGAAAGCAGAAGAGAGAAGGGCAGCAGAAGAGAGGATGACAGCAGAAGAGAGAAGGGCAGCAGAAGAGAGGAGGAAAGCAGAAGAGAGGAGCGCAGCAGAAGAGAGGAGCGCAGCAGAAGTGAGGAGCGCAGCAGAAGAGAGGAGTGCAGCAAAACATGAGAGGATTAAAGATGTTTATTCAATTTAATGGACGCAGAAGAATGTGCGATAGGAGAGACAAATGATCACAGAAATTGAGGGGGAGAAGAACGAACGGACAAGGGTGGAAGAATGACAAACAGGCAAGGGTGGAAGAACTACAAACGGGTTTGAGGTCAGGTTTGACGTCAGGTTTGAGGTCAGGTTTGAGGTCAGGTTTGACGTCAGGTTTGACGTCAGGAGTGACGTCAGGTTTGACGTCACGTTTGCGGTCAGGTTTGAGATCAGGTTTGACGTCAGGTTTGAGGTCAGGTTTAAGGTCAGGTTTGAGGTCAGGTTTGACGTCAGGTTTGACGTCAGGATTGAGGTCAGGTTTGACGTCAGGTTTGAGGTCAGGTGTGACGTCAGGTTCGACGTAAGGTTTGAGGTCAGGTTTGACGTCAGGTTTGACGTCAGGTTTGACGTCGGTTTGAGGTCAGGTTTGAGGTCAGGTTTGACGTCAGGTTTGGGGTCAGGTTTGACGTCAGGTTTGACGTCAGGTTTGAGGTCAGGTTTGACGTCAGGTTTGACGTCAGGTTTGAGGTCAGGGACGTCAGGTTTGACGTCAGGTTTGCGGTCAGGTTTGAGGATAGGTTTGACGTCAGGTTTGACGTCAGGTTTGACGTCAGGTTTGACGTCAGGTTTGAGGTCAGGTTTGAGGTCAGGTTTGACGTCAGGTTTGAGGTTAGGTTTGACGTCAGGTTGGAGGTCAGGTTTGAGGTCAGGTTTGATCAGGTTTGACGTCAGGTTTGAGGTGAGGTTTGAGGTGAGGTTTGAGGTCAGGTTTGACGTCAGGTTTGAGGTCAGGTTTGAGGTCGGTTTGACGTCAGGGTTGACGTCAGGTTTGACGTAAGGTTTGACGTCAGGTTTGAGGTCAGGTTTGACGTCAGGTTTGAGGTCAGGTTTGAGGTCAAGTTTGAGGTCAGGTTTGACGTTAGGTGTGACGCCAGGTTTGAGGTCAGGTTTGAGGTCAGGTTTGACGTCAGGTTTGATGTCAGGTGTGACGTCAGGTTTGACGTAAGGTTTGACGTCAGGTTTGACGTCAGGTTTGAGGTCAGGTTTGACGTAAGGTTTGAGGTCAGGTTTGAGGTCAGGTTTGAGGTCAGGTTTGAGATCAGGTTTGAGGTCAAGTTTGACGTCAGGTTTGAGATCAGGTTTGAGGTCAGGTTGAGGTCAGGTTTGAGGTCAGGTTTGACGTCAGGTTTGACGTCAGGTTTGACGTAAGGTTTTACGTCAGGTTTGAGGTCAGGTTTGAGGTCAGGTTTGAGGTCAGGTTTGAGGTCAGGTTTGAGGTCAAGTTTGAGGTCAGGTTTGACCTCAGGTTTGACATCAGGTTTGCGGTCAGGTTTGAGGTCAGGTTTGACGTCAGGTTTGAGGTCAGGTTTGACGTCAGGTTTGACGTCACGTTTGACGTCAGGTTTGACGTCAAGTTTGACGTCAGGTTCGACGTCAGGTTCGACGTCAGGTTCGACGTCAGGTTTGAGGTCAGGTTTGACGTCAGGTTTGACGTCAGGTTTGAGGTCAGGTTTGAGGTCAGGTTTGAGGTCAGGTTTGACGTCAGGTTTGACGTCAGGTTTGACGTAAGGTTTGACGTCAGGTTTGACGTCAGGTTTGACGTCAGGTTTGACGTCGGTTTGAGGTCAGGTTTGAGGTCAAGTTTGAGGTCAGGTTTGACCTCAGGTTTGACATCAAGTTTGCGGTCAGGTTTGAGGTCAGGTTTGACGTCAGGTTTGAGGTTAGGTTTGACGTCATGTTTGACGTCGGGTTTGAGATCAGGTTTGAGGTCAGGTTTGAGGTCAGGTTTGACGTCAGGTTTGACGTCAGGTGTGACGTCAGGTTTGACGTAAGGTTTGAGATCAGGTTTGAGGTCAGGTTTGGGGTCAGGTTTGAGGTAAGGTTTGAGGTCAGGTTTGACGTCAGGTTTGATGTCAGGTTTGAGATCAGGTTTGAGGTCAGGTTTGAGGTCAGGTTTGACGTCAGGTTTGACGTCAGGTGTGACGTCAGGTTTGACGTAAGGTTTGAGGTCAGGTTCGAGGTCAGGTATGGGGTCAGGTTTGAGGTCAGGTTTGAGGTCAGGTTTGACATCAAGTTTGAGGTCAGGTTTGACGTCAGGTTTGACGTAAGGTTTGAGATCAGGTTTGACGTCAGGTTTGACGTTAGGTTTGAGATCAGGTTTGACGTTAGGTTTGACGTAAGGTTTGAGGTCAGGTTTGACGTCAGATTTGACGTCAGGTTTGAAGTCAGGTTTGACGTCAGGTTTGAGGTCAGGTTTGACGTCAGGTTTGACGTCACGTTTGACGTCAGGTTCGACGTCAGGTTTGAGGTCAGGTTTGACGTCAGGTTTGACGTCAGGTTTGACATCAGGTTTGACGTCAGGTTTGACGTCAGGTTTGACGTCAGGTTTGACGTCAGGTTTGACGTCGGGTTTGAGATCAGGTTTGAGGTCAGGTTTGAGGTCAGGTTTGACGTCAGGTGTGACGTCAGGTTTGACGTAAGGTTTGAGATCAGGTTTGAGGTCAGGTTTGGGGTCAGGTTTAAGGTCAGGTTTGAGGTCAGGTTTGACGTCAGGTTTGACGTCAGGTTTGAGATCAGGTTTGAGGTCAGGTTTGACGTCAGGTTTGACGTCAGGTTTGACGTCAGGTGTGACGTCAGGTTTGACGTAAGGTTTGACGTCAAGTTTGAGGTCAGGCTGACGTCAGGTTTGAGGTCAGGTTTGAGGTCAAGTTTGAGGTCAGGTTTGACGTTAGGTGTGACGCCAGGTTTGAGGTCAGGTTTGAGGTCAGGTTTGACGTCAGGTTTGATGTCAGGTGTGACGTCAGGTTTGACATTAGGTTTGACGTCAGGTTTGACGTCAGGTTTGAGGTCAGGTTTGACGTAAGGTTTGAGGTCAGGTTTGAGGTCAGGTTTGAGGTTAGGTTTGAAATCAGGTTTGAGTTCAAGTTTGACGTTTGGTTTGAGATCAGGTTTGACGTCAGATTTGAGGTCAGGGACGTCAGGTTTGAGGTCAGGTTTGAGGTCAGGTTTGACGTCAGGTGTGACATCAGGTTTGACGTCAGGTTTGAGGTCAGGTTTGAGGTCAGGTTTGAGGTCAGGTTTGAGGTCAGGTTTGAGGTCAAGTTTGAGGTCAGGTTTGACCTCAGGTTTGACATCAGGTTTGCGGTCAGGTTTGAGGTCAGGTTTGACGTCAGGTTTGAGGTTAGGTTTGACGTCAGGTTTGACGTCGGGTTTGAGATCAGGTTTGACGTCAGGTTTGAGGTCAGGTTTGACGTCAGGTTTGACGTCAGGTGCGACGTCAGGTTTGACGTAAGGTTTGAGGTCAGGTTCGAGGTCAGGTTTGGGGTCAGGTTTGAGGTCAGGTTTAAGGTCAGGTTTGACATCAAGTTTGAGGTCAGGTTTGACGTCAGGTTTGACGTCAGGTTTGACGTAAGGTTTGAGATCAGGTTTGACGTCAGGTTTGACGTAAGGTTTGAGATCAGGTTTGACGTCAGGTTTGACGTAAGGTTTGAGGTCAGGTTTGACGTCAGATTTGACGTCAGGTTTGAAGTCAGGTTTGACGTCAGGTTTGAGGTCAGGTTGACGTCAGGTTTGAGGTCAGGTTTGAGGTCAGGTTTGAGGTCAGGTTTGACGTCAGGTTTGACGTCAGGTTTGACGTCATGTTCGACGTCAGGTTCGACGTCAGGTTCGACGTCAGGTTTGAGGTCAGGTTTGACGTCAGGTTTGACGTCAGGTTTGACGTCAGGTGTGACGTCAGGTTTGACGTAAGGTTTGAGATCAGGTTTGAGGTCAGGTTTGGGGTCAGGTTTAAGGTCAGGTTTGAGGTCAGGTTTGACGTCAGGTTTGAGGTCAGGTTGACGTCAGGTTTGAGGTCAGGTTTGAGGTCAGGTTTGAGGTCAGGTTTGACGTCAGGTTTGACGTCATGTTCGACGTCAGGTTCGACGTCAGGTTCGACGTCAGGTTTGAGGTCAGGTTTGACGTCAGGTTTGACGTCAGGTGTGACGTCAGGTTTGACGTAAGGTTTGAGATCAGGTTTGAGGTCAGGTTTGGGGTCAGGTTTAAGGTCAGGTTTGAGGTCAGGTTTGACGTCAGGTTTGACGTCAGGTTTGAGATCAGGTTTGAGGTCAGGTTTGACGTCAGGTTTGACGTCAGGTTTGACGTCAGGTGTGACGTCAGGTTTGACGTAAGGTTTGACGTCAAGTTTGAGGTCAGGCTGACGTCAGGTTTGAGGTCAGGTTTGAGGTCAAGTTTGAGGTCAGGTTTGACGTTAGGTGTGACGCCAGGTTTGAGGTCAGGTTTGAGGTCAGGTTTGACGTCAGGTTTGATGTCAGGTGTGACGTCAGGTTTGACATAAGGTTTGACGTCAGGTTTGACGTCAGGTTTGAGGTCAGGTTTGACGTAAGGTTTGAGGTCAGGTTTGAGGTCAGGTTTGAGGTCAGGTTTGAAATCAGGTTTGAGGTCAGGTTTGACGTTTGGTTTGAGATCAGGTTTGACGTCAGATTTGAGGTCAGGGACGTCAGGTTTGAGGTCAGGTTTGAGGTCAGGTTTGACGTCAGGTGTGACATCAGGTTTGACGTCAGGTTTGAGGTCAGGTTTGAGGTCAGGTTTGAGGTCAGGTTTGAGGTCAGGTTTGAGGTCAAGTTTGAGGTCAGGTTTGACCTCAGGTTTGACATCAGGTTTGCGGTCAGGTTTGAGGTCAGGTTTGACGTCAGGTTTGAGGTTAGGTTTGACGTCAGGTTTGACGTCGGGTTTGAGATCAGGTTTGACGTCAGGTTTGAGGTCAGGTTTGACGTCAGGTTTGACGTCAGGTGCGACGTCAGGTTTGACGTAAGGTTTGAGGTCAGGTTCGAGGTCAGGTTTGGGGTCAGGTTTGAGGTCAGGTTTAAGGTCAGGTTTGACATCAAGTTTGAGGTCAGGTTTGACGTCAGGTTTGACGTCAGGTTTGACGTAAGGTTTGAGATCAGGTTTGACGTCAGGTTTGACGTAAGGTTTGAGATCAGGTTTGACGTCAGGTTTGACGTAAGGTTTGAGGTCAGGTTTGACGTCAGATTTGACGTCAGGTTTGAAGTCAGGTTTGACGTCAGGTTTGAGGTCAGGTTGACGTCAGGTTTGAGGTCAGGTTTGAGGTCAGGTTTGAGGTCAGGTTTGACGTCAGGTTTGACGTCAGGTTTGACGTCATGTTCGACGTCAGGTTCGACGTCAGGTTCGACGTCAGGTTTGAGGTCAGGTTTGACGTCAGGTTTGACGTCAGGTTTGAGGCCAGGTTTGAGGTCAGGTTTGAGGTCAGGTTCGAGGTCAGGTTTGACGTCAGGTTTGAAACAGGTGTGACGTCAGGTTTGACGTAAGGTTTGACGTCAGGTTTGACGTCAGGTTTGACGTAAGGTTTGAGGTCAGGTTTGACGTCAAGATTGAGATCAGGTTTGAGGTTAGGTTTGATGTCAGGTTTGAGGTCAGGTCTGAGGTCAGGTTTGACGTCAGGTTCAAGGTCAGGTTTGACGTCAGGTTTGACGTCAGGTTTGAGATCAGGTTTGAGGTCAGGTTTGACGTCAGGTTTGAGATCAGGTTTGAGGTCAGGTTTGAGGCCAGGTTTGACGTCAATTTTGAGGTCAGGTTTGAGGTCAGGTTTGAGGTCAGGTTTGAGGTCAGGTTTGACGTCAGGTTTGACGTAAGGTTTGAGATCAGGTTTGACGTCAGGTTTGACGTTAGGTTTGAGATCAGGTTTGACGTTAGGTTTGACGTAAGGTTTGAGGTCAGGTTTGACGTCAGATTTGACGTCAGGTTTGAAGTCAGGTTTGACGTCAGGTTTGAGGTCAGGTTTGACGTCAGGTTTGACGTCACGTTTGACGTCAGGTTCGACGTCAGGTTTGAGGTCAGGTTTGACGTCAGGTTTGACGTCAGGTTTGACATCAGGTTTGACGTCAGGTTTGACGTCAGGTTTGACGTCAGGTTTGACGTCAGGTTTGACGTCGGGTTTGAGATCAGGTTTGAGGTCAGGTTTGAGGTCAGGTTTGACGTCAGGTGTGACGTCAGGTTTGACGTAAGGTTTGAGATCAGGTTTGAGGTCAGGTTTGGGGTCAGGTTTAAGGTCAGGTTTGAGGTCAGGTTTGACGTCAGGTTTGACGTCAGGTTTGAGATCAGGTTTGAGGTCAGGTTTGACGTCAGGTTTGACGTCAGGTTTGACGTCAGGTGTGACGTCAGGTTTGACGTAAGGTTTGACGTCAAGTTTGAGGTCAGGCTGACGTCAGGTTTGAGGTCAGGTTTGAGGTCAAGTTTGAGGTCAGGTTTGACGTTAGGTGTGACGCCAGGTTTGAGGTCAGGTTTGAGGTCAGGTTTGACGTCAGGTTTGATGTCAGGTGTGACGTCAGGTTTGACATTAGGTTTGACGTCAGGTTTGACGTCAGGTTTGAGGTCAGGTTTGACGTAAGGTTTGAGGTCAGGTTTGAGGTCAGGTTTGAGGTCAGGTTTGAAATCAGGTTTGAGTTCAAGTTTGACGTTTGGTTTGAGATCAGGTTTGACGTCAGATTTGAGGTCAGGGACGTCAGGTTTGAGGTCAGGTTTGAGGTCAGGTTTGACGTCAGGTGTGACATCAGGTTTGACGTCAGGTTTGAGGTCAGGTTTGAGGTCAGGTTTGAGGTCAGGTTTGAGGTCAGGTTTGAGGTCAAGTTTGAGGTCAGGTTTGACCTCAGGTTTGACATCAGGTTTGCGGTCAGGTTTGAGGTCAGGTTTGACGTCAGGTTTGAGGTTAGGTTTGACGTCAGGTTTGACGTCGGGTTTGAGATCAGGTTTGACGTCAGGTTTGAGGTCAGGTTTGACGTCAGGTTTGACGTCAGGTGCGACGTCAGGTTTGACGTAAGGTTTGAGGTCAGGTTCGAGGTCAGGTTTGGGGTCAGGTTTGAGGTCAGGTTTAAGGTCAGGTTTGACATCAAGTTTGAGGTCAGGTTTGACGTCAGGTTTGACGTCAGGTTTGACGTAAGGTTTGAGATCAGGTTTGACGTCAGGTTTGACGTAAGGTTTGAGATCAGGTTTGACGTCAGGTTTGACGTAAGGTTTGAGGTCAGGTTTGACGTCAGATTTGACGTCAGGTTTGAAGTCAGGTTTGACGTCAGGTTTGAGGTCAGGTTGACGTCAGGTTTGAGGTCAGGTTTGAGGTCAGGTTTGAGGTCAGGTTTGACGTCAGGTTTGACGTCAGGTTTGACGTCATGTTCGACGTCAGGTTCGACGTCAGGTTCGACGTCAGGTTTGAGGTCAGGTTTGACGTCAGGTTTGACGTCAGGTTTGACGTCAGGTGTGACGTCAGGTTTGACGTAAGGTTTGAGATCAGGTTTGAGGTCAGGTTTGGGGTCAGGTTTAAGGTCAGGTTTGAGGTCAGGTTTGACGTCAGGTTTGAGGTCAGGTTGACGTCAGGTTTGAGGTCAGGTTTGAGGTCAGGTTTGAGGTCAGGTTTGACGTCAGGTTTGACGTCATGTTCGACGTCAGGTTCGACGTCAGGTTCGACGTCAGGTTTGAGGTCAGGTTTGACGTCAGGTTTGACGTCAGGTGTGACGTCAGGTTTGACGTAAGGTTTGAGATCAGGTTTGAGGTCAGGTTTGGGGTCAGGTTTAAGGTCAGGTTTGAGGTCAGGTTTGACGTCAGGTTTGACGTCAGGTTTGAGATCAGGTTTGAGGTCAGGTTTGACGTCAGGTTTGACGTCAGGTTTGACGTCAGGTGTGACGTCAGGTTTGACGTAAGGTTTGACGTCAAGTTTGAGGTCAGGCTGACGTCAGGTTTGAGGTCAGGTTTGAGGTCAAGTTTGAGGTCAGGTTTGACGTTAGGTGTGACGCCAGGTTTGAGGTCAGGTTTGAGGTCAGGTTTGACGTCAGGTTTGATGTCAGGTGTGACGTCAGGTTTGACATAAGGTTTGACGTCAGGTTTGACGTCAGGTTTGAGGTCAGGTTTGACGTAAGGTTTGAGGTCAGGTTTGAGGTCAGGTTTGAGGTCAGGTTTGAAATCAGGTTTGAGGTCAGGTTTGACGTTTGGTTTGAGATCAGGTTTGACGTCAGATTTGAGGTTAGGGACGTCAGGTTTGAGGTCAGGTTTGAGGTCAGGTTTGACGTCAGGTGTGACATCAGGTTTGACGTCAGGTTTGAGGTCAGGTTTGAGGTCAGGTTTGAGGTCAGGTTTGAGGTCAGGTTTGAGGTCAAGTTTGAGGTCAGGTTTGACCTCAGGTTTGACATCAGGTTTGCGGTCAGGTTTGAGGTCAGGTTTGACGTCAGGTTTGAGGTTAGGTTTGACGTCAGGTTTGACGTCGGGTTTGAGATCAGGTTTGACGTCAGGTTTGAGGTCAGGTTTGACGTCAGGTTTGACGTCAGGTGCGACGTCAGGTTTGACGTAAGGTTTGAGGTCAGGTTCGAGGTCAGGTTTGGGGTCAGGTTTGAGGTCAGGTTTAAGGTCAGGTTTGACATCAAGTTTGAGGTCAGGTTTGACGTCAGGTTTGACGTCAGGTTTGACGTAAGGTTTGAGATCAGGTTTGACGTCAGGTTTGACGTAAGGTTTGAGATCAGGTTTGACGTCAGGTTTGACGTAAGGTTTGAGGTCAGGTTTGACGTCAGATTTGACGTCAGGTTTGAAGTCAGGTTTGACGTCAGGTTTGAGGTCAGGTTGACGTCAGGTTTGAGGTCAGGTTTGAGGTCAGGTTTGAGGTCAGGTTTGACGTCAGGTTTGACGTCAGGTTTGACGTCATGTTCGACGTCAGGTTCGACGTCAGGTTCGACGTCAGGTTTGAGGTCAGGTTTGACGTCAGGTTTGACGTCAGGTTTGAGGCCAGGTTTGAGGTCAGGTTTGAGGTCAGGTTCGAGGTCAGGTTTGACGTCAGGTTTGAAACAGGTGTGACGTCAGGTTTGACGTAAGGTTTGACGTCAGGTTTGACGTCAGGTTTGACGTAAGGTTTGAGGTCAGGTTTGACGTCAAGATTGAGATCAGGTTTGAGGTTAGGTTTGATGTCAGGTTTGAGGTCAGGTCTGAGGTCAGGTTTGACGTCAGGTTCAAGGTCAGGTTTGACGTCAGGTTTGACGTCAGGTTTGAGATCAGGTTTGAGGTCAGGTTTGACGTCAGGTTTGAGATCAGGTTTGAGGTCAGGTTTGAGGCCAGGTTTGACGTCAATTTTGAGGTCAGGTTTGAGGTCAGGTTTGAGGTCAGGTTTGAGGTCAGGTTTGACGTCAGGTTTGAGGTCAGCTTTGAGGTCAGGTTTGACGTCAAATGTGACTTCAGGTTTGACGTCAGGTTTGACGTCAGGTTTGAGACCAGGTTTGAGGTCAGGTTTGACGTCAGGTTTGAAACAGGTGTTACGTCAGGTTTGACGTAAGGCTTGACGTCAGGTTTGACGTAAGGTTTGAGGTCAGGTTTGACGTCAAGATTGAGATCAGGTTTGAGGTCAGGTTTGACGTCAGGTTTGAGGTCTGGTTTGAGGTCAGGTTTGACGTCAGGTTTGACGTAAGGTCTGAGGTCAGGTTTGAGGTCAGGTTTGAGGTCAGGTTTGACGTCAGGTTTGAGGTCAGGTTTAACGTCAGGTTTGACGTCAGGTTTGACGTAAGGTTAGACGTCAGGTTTGACGTCAGGTTTGACGTACAAGGAAAAGGAATTGCACAGGGCAGGCGGAAAATGCACAGGGGAGGAGGTTGGGAAGGGGGAGGCACTGACATCGCGGCTGCCAGCATCGCCGAAGTAGAGGGGGAGGTCGAGGGAGCGCCCAGCGCTACAAAGGGGATCAGCCGCTTCGATAGCAGCTGGCCTATTATCTGCACAGGACAGGGCAGGGAATTGCACAGGGCAGGCGGGAAATGCACAGGGGAGGAGGTGGGGAAGGGGGAGGCCCTAACCCGCTCGCTGCTCACGTCCAGCGCCACAAAGGGGATCAGCCGCTCCGACAGCAGCTGGCCTATTATCTGACAAGATCCATGGGGAAGTGGTATGGGTGTGAGGGACGGGTGTGAGGGATGGGTGTGAGGGACGGGTGTGAGGGATGGGTGTGAGGGAGGGGTGTGAGGGACGGGTGTGACATGAGAAGCAGGTGCAAACCGATATCAACGATGGTAGAGAAGCTCATATGGCAGAACAGAAGGCTCACCTGACCCACTCGGCCGAAGCCGCAAATGATAATGTGCCCCTGCAGATCATCCGTCTGATGTGCGGGCGTTGGATTGGCAAGGCAAGAAACAGAGAGAAGCGGGGATAAGAGGCCAAATGAGACGATGGGGCGAGAGCAGTTGAATCAAGAAAGTCCACCGGTGATATGGAGCAGAGTCTGCAAGAGGGCAAGTGACCTCAGCTCGTGTGGCTGTAGATAGTGCACGTCCTTTACTCAAGTTAGATGGAGATGAAGCCCCACGGAAAGGGACATGAAGGGTGGAAGAAGGACGAACGGGCAAGGGTGGAAGAAGGACGAACGGACAAGGGTGGAAGAACGACAAACGGGCAAGGGTGGAAGAAGGACGAACGGACAAGGGTGGAAGAACGACAAACGGGCAAGGGTGGAAGAAGGACGAACGGACAAGGGTGGAAGAACGACAAACGGGCAAGGGTGGAAGAAGGACGAACGGACAAGGGTGGAAGAACGACAAACGGGCAAGGGTGGAAGAAGGACGAACGGACAAGGGTGGAAGAACGACAAACGGGCAAGGGTGGAAGAAGGACGAACGGACAAGGGTGGAAGAACGACAAACGGGCAAGGGTGGAAGAAGGACGAACGGACAAGGGTGGAAGAACGACAAACGGACAAGGGTGGAAGAACGACAAACGGACAAGGGTGGAAGAACGACAAACGGACAAGGGTGGAAGAACGACAAACGGACAAGGGTGGAAGAACGACAAACGGACAAGGGTGGAAGAACGACAAACGGACAAGGGTGGAAGAACGACAAACGGACAAGGGTGGAAGAACGACAAACGGACAAGGGTGGAAGAACGACAAACGGACAAGGGTGGAAGAACGACAAACGGACAAGGGTGGAAGAACGACAAACGGGCAAGGGTGGAAGAACGACAAACGGACAAGGGTGGAAGAACGACAAACGGACAAGGGTGGAAGAACGACAAACGGACAAGGGTGGAAGAACGACAAACGGACAAGGGTGGAAGAACGACAAACGGACAAGGGTGGAAGAACGACAAACGGACAAGGGTGGAAGAACGACAAACGGACAAGGGTGGAAGAACGACAAACGGACAAGGGTGGAAGAACGACAAACGGACAAGGGTGGAAGAACGACAAACGGACAAGGGTGGAAGAACGACAAACGGACAAGGGTGGAAGAACGACAAACGGACAAGGGTGGAAGAACGACAAACGGACAAGGGTGGAAGAACGACAAACGGACAAGGGTGGAAGAACGACAAACGGACAAGGGTGGAAGAACGACAAACGGACAAGGGTGGAAGAACGACAAACGGGCAAGGGTGGAAGAACGACAAACGGACAAGGGTGGAAGAACGACAAACGGACAAGGGTGGAAGAACGACAAACGGACAAGGGTGGAAGAACGACAAACGGACAAGGGTGGAAGAACGACAAACGGGCAAGGGTGGAAGAACGACAAACGGACAAGGGTGGAAGAACGACAAACGGACAAGGGTGGAAGAACGACAAACGGACAAGGGTGGAAGAACGACAAACGGACAAGGGTGGAAGAACGACAAACGGACAAGGGTGGAAGAACGACAAACGGACAAGGGTGGAAGAACGACAAACGGACAAGGGTGGAAGAACGACAAACGGACAAGGGTGGAAGAACGACAAACGGACAAGGGTGGAAGAACGACAAACGGACAAGGGTGGAAGAACGACAAACGGACAAGGGTGGAAGAACGACAAACGGACAAGGGTGGAAGAACGACAAACGGACAAGGGTGGAAGAACGACAAACGGACAAGGGTGGAAGAACGACAAACGGACAAGGGTGGAAGAACGACAAACGGACAAGGGTGGAAGAACGACAAACGGACAAGGGTGGAAGAACGACAAACGGACAAGGGTGGAAGAACGACAAACGGACAAGGGTGGAAGAACGACAAACGGACAAGGGTGGAAGAACGACAAACGGACAAGGGTGGAAGAACGACAAACGGACAAGGGTGGAAGAACGACAAACGGACAAGGGTGGAAGAACGACAAACGGACAAGGGTGGAAGCGATAGAGTTGAGGATAGGAATAAGGACATGGGATGCAGGGGAAACAGAGAGGCGATGGTAGCACACAGCACTAGGGCGCCGAGCTAGCAGGCAAATAAGGAAGGGACGCAGCATGGGTATGAATGCATTCTACTCTAACCCCCTACGACTCTAGTATGAGCTCAAGCCGCCCCAGTGCCATGCGCTACCATCGCCAAACGCCGCTCATCTCTCACTCAACTTTTGATCGCTCCCATTCGAAAATGGGCTCATTTGTTTCGAGCACGCGGTGACGGAAGAATGCGGTACAAAAGTATGCAATGATAAACACGAAGCAGAAGCGGTAAGGATGGCAAGGGCGAAGGGAGAGGGAACTTAGCCGTATGGGGGTGCTTGCAGGACAGTGGCGTCAGGCTTCCAGGAGGCTCGCACACCGCTGGGACTGCCTGCCGTGCGTCATCCCACCGCCCTCCCTCCCCGCACCATTATGGGAAGGAGAGCAAGAAAACAGAGCAGGGGAAAACCCAAGTAGTCAGTAGAAGCATGAAAGTAGTGAAATGCATGCAGGGAGGCCTGATAACAAGAACGATGAGTAGAGGAAACGAAAGTTGAAGATGAAAAGCACGTGGCACTGTGACGCTGTGAAAGGGGAGGCGATGGTAGCACACAGCACTAGGGCGCCGAGCTAGCATGCAAATAAGGAAGGGACGCAGCATGGGTATGAATGCATTCTACTCTAACCCCCTACGACTCTAGTATGAGCTCAGGCCGCCCCAGTGACATGCGCTACCATCGCCAAACGCCGCTCATCTCTCACTCAACAGACAAGGGTGGAAGAACGACAAACGGGCAAGGGTGAAGACGCGGAGTGCAGGCGAAGCGTTGTGATCTCCCATCCGTCGCACTCCTAGCAGGAGTGCCTCCCAGCAGCACAGGGACTCCCATCGGCGGCACTCCCAGCAGCAGAGAGCCTCCCATCGGCGGCACTCCCAGCAGCAGAGAGCCTCCCATCGGCGGCACTCCCAGCAGCTTGTGAAGGAGTGGCGTGCTCATCCCACTGCCCACCCTCCTTCCCCTCTCCTGGCCTGCGACAGGGGAAAGGATTCAGGAGAGAAGGCAGCAACTGGAAGGGAACCAAGAGAACAAAGGAAGGAAGGAAGCAATGGATCAAGCAATAGAGTAAGTGAGTTTGTTAACAAACAAAAAACAGAAAGGCGACAGAAACAGACACGGGGCACTCGAGACCAGGGTAAATAAAGGCGATGGTAGGCATGGCACTTGGGCAGCGAGAGCTAGCAGGCAAGGGTGGAGTGGGTGAGAAAGGGACGCGGGCATGAGTATGAATGCAGTCTACCCCCTACAACTCTAGAATGAGCTCTGCCGCCCCAGTGCCATGCGCTACCATCGCCATGCGCCTCATAAACCCCCACTCAACTTTTGACCCCTCCCACACGGAAATGAGCGTTTTCGTTTCGAGCATGCACCGAGAGAGAGAACAGAGCGGTAAGGAAATTAACAAAGGACAGGAAGGAATGCGGATGGCAAGACAGTGTGGGGCTTAGGAGTGAACTTAGCGACGGAAGCAGCAGCAGTCATTCCAATCCAAGGTGCATCAGGAGGCTGCTCCTCCCGTTGTGACCCGCGCAGCAGTTGGACTCCCATTGCCGGCACTCCAAGCCACCGCCCTCCCAGCAGCACAGAGACTCCCACCAGCAGCCCTCCCAGCAGCAGCGAGACTCCCATCGGCCGCACTCCCAGCTGCCCGTGAGGGAGTGGCGTGGTCAGCAGGGCACACCCATGCCTGCCGTGCGCCATCCCACTGCCCTCCCTCCCTCCCCTCCCCTCTCCTGGCCTGCGACAAGGAAATGGATTGGGGAGAGAAGGCAGTGATAGGAAGGAGTCAAAGATTTTAGTCCGATTAAAGGAAGGAAAGAAGCTATGGAACAAGCAATAAGTGTAAGTAACAGGTAAAGAGTGTGAAAGAAACAAAAGGTTGAAAGAAACAGACACGAGGCACTCGAGACCGGGGTAAATAAAGGCGATGGTAGGCATGGCACTTGGGCAGCGAGAGCTAGCAGGCAAGGGTGGACTGGGTGAGAAAGGGACGCGGGCATGAGTATGAATGCATTCTACCCCCTACAACTCTAGAATGAGCTCTGCCGCCCCAGTGCCATGCGCTACCATCGCCATGCGCCCCATAACGTTTTGGTTTACAGCATGCACTGAGGAAACGAAGCGGTCACAGAAACAGAAGGCGAAAGGGATCGCAAGGTGGTGAGTGGCGCGCTGAGGGAACTTAGCTGTACGAGCGACAGAAGCAGCAGCAGTCGTTCCAAGCAGCAACAGGATGCACGCCTTGGCGGACAACTTTATTCCACCGCGTCCGTGCTCGAGCGATCGCCTTCGCCTTCGCCTTCGCGTTTGCCTTCGCGATCGCCTTCTATTTCGCCGTCGCTTCATGAAAAAATCACCTTCGTCGTTAACGTCAGCAAGCGCCTTATTCGATGGTGGTTGTCAAATCTCGCCGCCTGGACCGTCACAGCAGCAACAGCCGTTCGATCCAAGTGAGCGACCGCCTTCGCCTTCGCCGTCCCCATCTGCAGAAACCTCAGCAACGCCCGTCAACATCACGAAGCGCCGTCGTCAACGTCAAGCGTTGCCGTCAGAACTCGCCGTCTTGTTCGTCACAAAGGAAGATGCTGCCTCGATCGTCACTTTCAAAACCTTCAGTCTCGTCGGTCAGTGCCATACCATGACGGTGCCTTGATATCAGTTTCGATCGTCAGCATGGGTCGTCAACCTTAGAGGATTCCGCCTTAATCGCTGACGTCAGAACCCCCCGTCCCAGTCGCCACCTCGTCAATCGCCACCTCGTCAATCGCCACCTCGTCAATCGCCACCTCGTCAATCGCCGTCAGAAGATCGTCACGAAGTCAGCGCGGGCGCCACCTCGTCGACGACTCCCAGTCTTATCGTCAGCGCGGGCGCCAACGTCGCCGTACGAACACCTCGTCGCGACCGTCATTGTCATCGCGATTGTAAGAACGAACTTTTCAGAAACGTAAGATAAGGAATATCGTCGTCTCAACCTTGATCATCGATGAGTCATCTCCGCAACTTGCCATCCCAACCATCAGAAGACGCCAATCCTCTCCGTCAGAAGATCGTCACCGGCAGAAGATCGTCAGCGGAACTCTCAAAGGTCCCACTTGTCACCATCAGAAGAAGTCACTCGTCGCCGTAAGAGCACCTCATCACAAATTTCACCGTCAGAAATCGCCGTCTCGATCGTTGCCGTCAGCACTCCTCGTTTCAATCTTCACCGTCAAAAATCGCCGTCTCGTTCCGTCAGTACGCCTCGTATCAATTTTCACCGTCAAAATTCGCCGATAGTCATTATCAGCACTCCTCGTCTAGATAATCGTAATTAAGAATCGCCGTCTCGATCACCCCTTCCAACGAAACCGTCCCAATCGTCATCCTCATGAAACATAAATTCTACTCCTAAACGCAGAAATCGTTATCGCTGTCTACGTGTAATCTAAACGGCGTTATCGTCGCAGGCTGAAACACGACGTGCACGTGAACGGCGTTACGAACGTCGCCAAGCTTTACGAACCGTCTCCGACTACCGTCAGCGGTAAAAAGTTCAATGGTGTTTGACAAAGAGGCCGAATCTCTGCGACGGTCAACGATCAGCATGGAGCTTCGAAAACGGCCTGATCAGGATTGGACGACGAGAGTTTGCTAGTGCTATAACCGAGCTGTTCTGAATTTCTAGTACCGTAGCCGTAGATGATACATTTATGGAAACCTTCGCGAGATATTTATCGGTCTGTGAGGAAATGGAAGACGACAGCCATGGATTGCTGACGAGCCGAGCCTTGAAGAGTGCGAACAGAGGTCATGAAACTCGAACAGAGGTGCTCCGAATATGGTTAGAGAACACATCTACCTAAGACTAAGCTTAAGGCATTGTTAACGGTTGGTAAGCATGGAACTTCAGGCGACAGCCATGGATTCCAGGGAACCAAACGAGCTTGCTGTCTAGAAGTCAGCGCGAATTGCGGTGATGATGGTGAGGGGGAATGGCAGTCAGGAAAGCTGGAAAACGAGTATCAGGCATTCTGAAATGATAAGGCATTGGTGTGAGGGGTTCAGCGGAACAATGCCGGTTTTCCAGAGCGATCCAGAGTGGTTGAGGGAGATTTACATGGGCGTGGGAGAGATGCGACGGAACTAGGGGATTTAGACCGCTCCCCTTCCTCTGCTCTGGTCCAGGCCGCCATAGCGTCGGCAGCACACGGCGTCGTGAACCGAAATAGTTGACCTTCGCTTGGGGAAGTTCGGCTCGCGAGAACTGTGACCGGGTTTCGTGAACAGAATTACGAAATATCCGCAGCGCGGGACTCTCGCAGTTCAAAGTGTTTGCGCGGGAAGCAGACACTTGCTGACAGACGCTCATGGAATGGTGGAGCGCAAGTTTCAGGGGATAATCTGTACATCATATGACGTTCACTGTAGCTGCCTCACACCCAATATGATACAGTTATTAAGCAAATATGTTAGAGTCAGTCGTGGGTGTTTTGCAGGTGCACATGAATGCATAATTGAAAGCCTTGCATTGCAGAAAATCTGGACTTCTTTTGGTGGTGAGAGAAGATGCTCTATGCACCCCAGTTTGGTGAGAAATGTCAGAAATCTTAGGACATGCGATCAAAAGACCGTTCCTACCCCTACCCAACATATTATAGCTGGTACTAATTTGATTGCTTCTCATCTCATGGTGCTGCTGCTTTCCAAACCTCCCAGCCAATCCCTTTCCGTCCACAGAAGCTCCACAGCAGCACCACCAGCACCACAACAAGCAGCAATGCAGGTCACTTCGCTGAAAGCAGCACCTGAAAGACAGCTAGGTGAGTGCTAGATACCATCCCACCCACACTGTCATACATGACCCGTCCACCCAGCTGCCTCTCCACAAAGCTCTCGCATATTTCTATTCCACCATTTTCCACCCCTGTGATTTGTGCGCAAAATCATTGGCGTT